TATCATTATCAAATAGGGCAATAGATACCCTTTAGATTAACTTAACATGGCATTCCATCTCACCGAAAAATTAGAAATTGAATTATACTTTAACTTAGGTTTATGAGACTGATATTGATATAGGATAATGTACAAGTGTAACATTTGTAGATTTGAAAATCTAAAAAATTAGCATCGTTTGCTAATATGATGACTAATATATAGCTCATATGTCTCATTATCAGAATGACGACTCAAATACCAAAATCATATCGAACTCTTATAACCCAAGAACATTATAATTATGCACATTCTCAATTAATTCAGATTAGTATCAATAAATTTTAATTCTAAGTTTTAATGATTGCGAAACCTGGATCATTTATAAATTAGACATTGAACATATTTAAGTATTAGCAGAATCAAATAATTTTAAAAATTAAATTTTGAGGCATGTTGAATATGATCGCATGACTTTTTTTATGCAATTTGACCACATCTTACTTAATTGGTAGTCAAATATTACTCTTTATGAAAATAATGATGAAAGAATACTAAATTTTAAATTTTAGGATGATAAATTTATAATTGTAGTTGAAAAAACAAACAACGATGTATAAGATGATTTGAAATCTGAAAATGTAATTCTTTACCGAAGCTAAAATCCATTAAAAATTATAAAAACTTATCATTTTATCATTTTGTAGTTTGATACATATTTAGAATATATCAATCCAATTTCCATAAGTTATTTTCTACAATTAAAAATGCATTAACTATCTTCACTATAGTATAACAATCCCTTATTACTATCGATCAATTAATTTCATGAATTGGTAACAATTAAAATAAATCAGCATTCCTGCTATTTAATTTGCAATGAATATTAATTCCAAAATTAAACTAGTTTGATAGAAAGTACATTCTATAAAAAATTGAAGATATTAACTGCTGTAATTATCCATAAAAAACCTTATGAGCAAGAATTTATTAATAATTCCTACGATATTCAATTTAATTTACTTCATGATTATTTCTACTATCCATTATATTCAACTTTGGTCACAAAATTGAAATTGAATCCAGAATTTACTTGTTTAAATAATAGCAGTGCAATTAAATGCAATCTCTTAAAATATAACATATTAAGTAGATCTTGTATTGACCTAATTAAAAATTACATTTGGATCAAAGAATTTATTATCTAAAATTAATTACATGTTTTATATTATTAACAAAATCTAGAACTTAAGTTGATGAATTGTGAAACAAATAAATCCTTTGTGGTTGGCAAATTTGAGGCTCTAGAAATAGATGAAAATTAATTTTACATTTTTAAAACTGATGTTTTTATACCCTATTAAAATGAAACAAAAATTTTGTGCCTATAATTTAAAAATGGTTCAAACAGTATTAACCCAAAAATTCTAAAAATCTAAGGAAAATTAATAACAGTTCTTTATAATAGACATCTTTATATCATTATTACAACAGTTTGCTAAATTTAAGTAATCGAAAGTAGCCTAATAGTAGAAAAATTCGTAGAGATGAGAGAATAAGGAGTAAGTTTCCTTAATAGATGCGAAAAGTTTGAAGTTTTTTTTGGTTTTATGAAGGCTTGTAGTTTTAATTAAACAATTATATTTTATAACCAAATATATACTGTTTAATTAAATTTTGATACCTAAATACTTTCTATCATTTCAATATCATCATCTTATAATTCCTTGATTTTGATAGAGAAAACATAAAAAGAAGAAATTAACATCAACAAATACGAATTGATGGGTGATTAAAAAACCTTACTTTTTGCACTACCAAAATTTAGTTTTTAATATTAGATTCCTATTAAATATGTAACAACTGGATTTATTCTTGCAATTGCTGCATATAATAATAATACTAAAGTAATCTTGATTTATAATCTAATTAGTGCCTATCATGAAATTTTAGTTGATATTATTTACGTCGATAGTTTTAATTTCCATTTCTGCTCTGATACTTAATTTGCTTTTTTAAATAATAAACAATGGAATATTTATAATCCACAAATTCTTGGCTTGGATTGTCAAATTGAAAAATTTGTTGAAAGCTCAAAGATTTTTAAATATGAATTATAATAACGTTCAAAAATCAACTAAAGTGATCAAAAGAAAATCACCCTTAATTTTGAACTCATAAACCTAACAGGATATATAATACAAAGCAAATCTTCTGTAAAGACATTTGGATTTAACAATATAAATTAAAAAATTGCATTTGATCCTTTAAATTTAGTTTTAGGTCCTATTTACAATATATCGTCTTCAGATGCAACTATCAATCCTCCACTTTAAAACATGAGAAATATAACTAAATCATTATGTGCTGAGTTAATTTAAACTATATGTTATAATTAAAAAAATAACGAAATTATTTTAGATATTTTAAATGATACAATAAATATGTAAATTTAGTTAATGTTTGATTTATTTTCTCTAAGGTAAAAGCATTTATAAACATTTAAAAGCGAAGAATATTATATTATAGCTTATTTTTCTGGAGATTTTGTATAAACCTTCGAAATATATAAATAAAATGTAGGGCTTATCATTAAAACTAATTTACAAGAGTAATTCAGAATGAATTATGATTGGATTAATATATTTTCAAATTATTGCTTAATATAGTAAAATGAACAATTACACGTTTATGTTATTTAGTCGGATTCATTCATAAAAATTGATACTTTACAGTTTTAATGTCGAGATTGTGAGACAATTAAAGTTAAGAATTCTAAAAATACAATAATGATAACTTAAAGTATAAATGCTCATTTTTCATTTGAATCATCATTTGTAATTTTGTAAATAATTAAAAACAAAGTTTTTTTACATTATTTTAATTAAGTAGAGGAAGAGTTTTTGCTTTATAAATTAAAAAGTATAATTTATATTAGATTTTACGATCTGATCTCAATATAAGATAACTAACTCTCAGGCAAAATAGTTGGGTTCTAACTTTAACATAAAATATACGTCCTTAACATTGTGTTAAATTTAGAAATAGATTAATTAAAAATTTCTAGCCAGATAGGAATTGTTTCATATTTTGGAATTACCACTGTGAATCAAATTTTTATCCTAGAATCAAATTTAATGTTAATCTCAACAAGTTGCTTTTTAAATACACACTTACTCTTATATAATTTGTCAGACTTTTCAGTTTTTAATTCTAAGTATCCAATATAAGCTGTATCTATTGATTAATACCCATAAATTCAATTTTACAATCTTACTCATTTTTTTATTACTTTTAGGAATAGTGATTCAATTTAACTATTTAAGATATCAGAATACACATTAGATATGCAAAATACCTCGAATAAATATGTAAATCTTTTGTTTTCAAATAATGAGCAGAATTTAGAAATCTAAGTAGAATTAAATTAAATTTCAAATCTAAGTTTATTTTCTATTTGCTAAAAATACATTGTCTATTTAATCTTATTGGCTTGCCTAGTATTTTGTTTTTTAGCAAAACGAAAAAGAAAATTGAGATCCGAGATTGAAAATCATAGTGAAATAGAATTATGATTTCCAATTATGGACAAAGAAATTAACATTTGATTGTTATGTGAGTGTATGGTTTTTTTAATTATATTTATCATTATTAATTGAATGTATGAGTATTGACAACTATTTTATATTTGGTTCTGGCAATAAAGTATTTTATAAATATTTTTAATTTAAAATGCAAAGTCATGTAAATTTATAGAAATATGAATCTTATGAGTTGCAAAAACCAAGCATAACTATTTTTGAGTAATCAACTTAGATGAATATTTTAACTGATGAATAAATTGATGAATCTGATTCAGAACCTGAGAAGACCATTTAAGAAACGCAAAACCAAAATCTATTACTTTCTAAATAGTACATTTACTTTCACAAATAGAAATAGCCAACATAACAATACAATATTTGAAGATGAAAATGAAGAAGGTGTGTGGGAAGAGAATGCTAAGGAAGTAAATCCTCCAAAGCCATTTTTAATGTCGATTAACTTCTCCAACATAAGTCTGTATCGATTCCCTACTCTGGAATAAGAAAAGGTATTTGGTGCTATTTTTATTGCATAGAATTTAAGGGCTGAGATAAACAATATAGAAATAAACAATAATGTAGTGTATTATTAGATAGAAACCAAATCATCTTAATTGGGGTACACCGTAAAAGTGAAGAGAAGATATAATGATTTTAAGTTTTTATTGAGAGAATTAACAATCAGATACCCTCAACTATTATTACCTTACTTACCTATAGGAATTGGAGTTGGAAAACTTAACAATCGAAGCGTAGAAGAAAGAAAGAGATTATTATAAAATGTTATTAATATCATAACTATGCACTAAGAATTGATACTTTCAAGTTCTGTCAGAAATGTAACATCTTATTTAATCTATTAGTTTTTTGAAGAAGGAGATCAACAGGAATTTGAGAATAAAAGAAAACAAGGTCAATATAATATGAAAGGAGGTTTAGCTTAAAATCTATAAACAGTAATAGATAAAAGCATAAAATCGATTGGATAATTAAAGAATTGGTGGAATGGTACAAATCAAAACAAGAAATGTGAGGAATTGGAATAAATATAGCTGGAATTAGTCAAATTATTGAGTTAATAAGCAAGGTATTAGAAACTACTTTCCTACATCTAAGCATTATAAAGAAAATAGTAAAAAATAAAGGATATAATTGCATAACAAGATAGTTAAAAAACACAATTACTAATTGAAACGAAACTTCATGATTGTATTTTAGATTATGCAAAAAATTTAGATTTCTAAACTAACACTTTAGAAGATAAATTTGTAATTAATATGTATATTTAGGATTAATATTATCAATAGTAAATTTGGTAATTAATGAATGTAATAGAATTTATTGATTACGCTGATATTTATTTTAAGCAGTTAGTCAAGTACATTGAAGATTTTAATGAATAATTAACCTAGGTTGCACCAAATTAATAAACGTATAACAATTTAATTATTTTTATTAGTCATTAAACAATCAAGGATGAGATTAATAAATATTTGAGCAAAGCTAAGGATTAATTTTGCAATAAAAAAGATGGTATAATATCAAAATACATTGGAATTTAATAAAAAGGATTTACTGATTATTACATTAGCCAATAATAGGAGATCTGGAATTACGCTTAAGAGATGAAAAATACATTTAATTGATCTGACTTTTGATTTTTATTAAATTAAATAATTTAATTGCTTAAATCAAATAGAAACCAAATAATTAATTCACTATTGCTAATTTAAATATTGCAAATTATGTTCTCTTTGTCTTCTTTTGGAAAGAACTTATGAATACTCAACTTAAGACGCATTCATATTATACAGACTATGATATATGGGTACTAAAAGGTGTAGGTATAGGGCCTGCAACTTTATTAAGGGTAGGATTGTAAATTTAATTCAATTATAACAATGTTTGGCTTAATGGATTTAGGATCTCAACAGAAGGATAGTTAATTTAAACAATACAATGGGTAATGAAGTAAACAAGATTAGTTGGTAGAGGCAAGTAAGATTTAATTCTAAATAATTTAAGCAACAAGGTTTTAGTGATTATTTTAATTATAAGAATAAAATAAAGAAGAGAAATAGAAAATGAATGAATTTTAATAATTTTATACTGGCTTTTATGTAAATTATTCATTGGAATTAATGAATTAATTAGAAACTCTATATAAATATTGATCAGTTTCTCCCAATCTATCATATAAAAGGAGAGTTTCTTAATATTATTTGAATGAGGTGAATATGCTTGTTGTATTATGAAATTGATAGTTATATCAAATTATTAATAAAGCCAAAAATATTTTGAAGTAAAATTCCCTTAGTCAGACAAGAATATTTGGTGTTTAGCCAAAGTACATGGTATAAGCAGCATCGAATTATAATAAATCAAAATGTGAAAAGAAATCTAAGTTATTGGAAGAAATAACTAAAGATCTAATACTTTAACATTTGAATTAAAGAATAAGGAAAAGTGCTTTAATAGTTATAATTTGAGAACTACATTCCCATTAGACTTTATATAGTAATTATGTAAGAGGATTTTAAGTAAAATACTCTGAATGAATAAGATCTCTAAATTTGAAATGAGATGACTAAAAAGCATAAAGATAATATAAAAATTATTGCAAAGCATAGACATATATAATTAATATAAATGATAATAATTATCAAAATTCAAGTTTTAAGTAGGTTTTAAGCTATTCAATTTATACTGGTTTAACTAAATATCCATCCATTCCATTTTAGATTGCCAAATTTTCTTCTTCTTATTTTGCATAAGCCGAACATCCAATAATCTAAATTTTTGGATATTATTTCTTAATTATAGAAGTAGCTTAAATGCCATTCATTGTAGGCATATCGATGTCCATAAATATTGCATCATAACCATTACAATTATTACATCTATTTGAATTTACCATTTAGATAGCAGTATGGCCATCTAAAGAGTATTCTAATTTAAGAGATGAATTTATCTTTTAAATTAAGAATTTCAGAACTTCTATGTTAAATGCATTGTCATCAACAATCAAAATATTAGCACATTGACATTTATTTATATGTTATGACTTGATATTATTGTATCTCCATAAAGATTACCTTCTTTCTGGACTTTCTTCATCGATGTTTTCTGATTCTTCATCAATTTCTGATTCTGAAATATTTTTCGAAATATAGAACCAAAATGATGACCCGCTTTAGTATTCTGATTGAAATTGTAATCCTCTTTCATTGAAACTCAAATTTCTAGCAATCATATTACTAATAATTAATCCTAATCCAACTCCTTAAGGATTCAACTTTTTGCTTTCTTTATCTTCCACTCTAACAAAGGCCTATAATAATCTTTCTTTATGTTCTTCCTTGATTCCAAGTCCTGTATCACGAACTTCTATTTTTAGTGAACTTGTGTGATAATTAGACACATTGATTTCTATATACCCTTGCAAAGTGTATTTGAAAGCATTTCCAAGAAGGTTTATTATTATTTATCTAATCCTATTTGGGTCGTTGTTCAGTAATTTCGGTACATTTTTTCTAAAGTTTAATGAGAGATCAATTTTTTTTAAGCTAGCTTCCAAATTGAATAATTCCATACATTCTTCAATCAATCTCTTAAGGTCCATTTAAACAGGGTTGATTGAAAACTTACCTGCTTTTAATTATGCAAAATCTAGCAAATCATTGGATAGATTGAGTAAATACTTACAATTTAATAACGAAATTTTGATGTACTTACTTTAAAGGTTGGGATCCCTTTCATCTTATAGAGCAGAGATAAACTAAATGATTGAATTGAGAGGTGTTCTATATTCATGACTAACAAAAGAAATAATACTCGATTTGACTTAGTATTATTTTTGTATCAACTTTATATAGTCTCTATGAGTAACATCTCTAATTTATAGCAAAATCATTAATTTATCATCAATCAAAGTTGCATGTGCATTGATTTCTAATAAACGTTTTTTTGGTTGCTCCAAATCTCCACGGCCATCATTTTCATACCTGTTTCCTAAATAGCTCCCTATAAATACAGTGTTATGAGGACTATTCTTTAAGATCTAAAAAAATCTTTTGTTTGCCTTAATGTTTCTCAAATCACACAGAAGTTACTAATATAGTGGAAATTCAGTTACATTCAATTCAATTTCTTCTTTAGACAAACGTTTATTGGAAAATTTGTATTATTGAAAAGTCTATTAAAAACTCTAAAAGGATGGAAGTGAATCTCTAGGATCTCTGATATCTGGTTTGGCCTAAGTGGTTACAACTTCAGATAATTATTCCAAACAAGTCTTAAAATTAGATTTGTCAGTTATCTTAAATAATTCTAAGGTTGCTGAATTACAGAAGTATATGGCCAAATCTTAAGCCATCAGTAAAATTAGAGGGTCTGGTATTAAATTAAAGAAGTGGGAGCATTCTTACAACTCCTATTACAAGTTCGTTGCTGATGAATGGTATTATTGTTTTCTATAATCGGGACTTTGCACAACATTTGAAATTGACTTCTCATAAGACTTTACATATGAGGTCTAAGGATAATTATCCTATTTTTACTGATTGGCCTATAACACAAAGAGAAGAATTAACAGTAATGAAATCCCTCCGATAAAGGTGTATATATCATATGAATTCCAGCTGCAAACTCTAATTAAAGCATATAGATTGATTAAAATGGTGAGTTTTTACAACAATTCTTTTTTTACTCTTTCTTGACCTATTTCAATACATATAAAATGGAGAATTAAAACACTGAAATTTTGAAGTTTCACTGCACACTCCACAAAATATATAGCTAAACCTGTGGTGTAACTCAGATTCATTAGTAAATACCTTTTTTCATCCAGTTTAAAAGAGAAGAATATAGCCACTTAAACAGCACTCATTATGCTTAACAAAATTATCATTTCTCTTAATTCAAACCCCAAAAATGGAGTGAGCACTATGCTGATAATCCCTTCAAGGGGTATTTTCATTATTTTCCTCATATTTTATTTATAATTTAGGTATCAATTAATAATTTAAATAAGAAACTTCTCAATGACATCAAAATAAAACAACAAGAATAAAAATTATTCCCTATTAAATCCTAAATTGTATAAAAATGAACTAGCTTACCAAATAGAAATATGTCCTCAGATTTAATGTTGAGCATTCAATCAAGAGATTATAACTCTAAAACTATTAATTCAAATTATATTTTCCATATCATTATTATTATATCATTCATCTTCAACAAGCGATACTAAATTGTAATCTTCTTCTAAATCTTAATACACATCACACTTAAGGAAAATAAGCTTTAGCAAAATTGGAAGTAATACTAATTGTAAATAAAATCAATAAATAATTAAATTATTCTGAACTTTGCGAATAAAATGGAGAAACAGAAAGAAATTCTTAAATTATATCATGACAATCATGATAAGTAAATAGAAGAAGTGTTTAAGGCTGATCCAAACATTCCCATACATAAATTTCAAACCCAAAAATAATTTACAGGTAATTGGTAATATAGTGATAAGAAATCCAAAAGTTTTGCATTTGGCATGTCTCCATAACAATACAAAACTAATTGAACTCACATTGACATACTGTAGAAATTCTAACCTAATAAATTAAACTCAAATGATCGAATTCATTAATTTATAGAATAAGGATGGATTTACTCCTTTACTTATGGCATCCTTTAAAGGAAATATAGTATATATATTAAGAGATTATCTTTAGGAAATCATAAAGTTATTGCTCTAAATAGGAGCTAATTCGAATATAAAGAATACAGCTGGATTGTCTGTTCTGCATATGTCTGTTTAGGGCGATCACGTCAAGGCTAGTGTATTATCTTTGAATATTTAGTTATTTTGGATTAATCAAAATATTCCTATTGATATATTAGATTACAATCATCAAACTCCTTTGATTTGTGCTTCTTTTTTAGGTTCTTAACAAATGGTTAACTTTCTAATTCCTTGGGGTGCCAAATTGAACGCTCAGACAAAAGACAAAGGTCATACTGCTTTGCATGTAGCAACCTAATAAGGACATTCTCGGATTGTGAGAAAATTATTGATCAAAGGAATAGATAGAAAAATCAAAGATAAGAATGGAAAAACTGCGCTTGATTTAGCCATAGACTCTAAATTTAAATCAATTTAAACTATGATAGTAAGTGATCATAACAAAATTGTAGGAAAATAAAATGGGTTTGGCTGAACGATGTGGTTTGAGATAACCAGATTCAAAAGTTGAAAAGAATTACATATCAATGACTATCTATCTATCCCTTTATTGCAGTTCCTTTCTTCTGACTATTTCATTCACTTTGCCTTGTAACATATATCTCATGACTAAATCAAGATTTAGAATCCTTTTAGGCTTGGTACATCACAGCATGTAGTCTAACTCTCCTTTTGACTTGGGTTCTCGTTAAAAGAAATCCAGGCTTTGTGCCACGCTCAAATAAAACCTTAATGGTAGGGTGATTTAACATTTATAAGGATCTATTAGATGCTTACTCCGTAGATTAAATCTGCCCAGACTGTTCAGATGTAAAACCCCCCAGGTCGAGACATTGCGAAATATGTTTGAAGTGCGTTTATAAATATGACCATCATTGTCCTTGGCTTTCTAATTGCATAGGAGAGAAGAACTAGTATATATTCCTGGCCTTCCTTTTTACCTTGATTGCCAGTATGGTTTTGTAGATAGTAGTCCAATGTTAAAGTAAAAATATAGGAAAATTAAATTAGTTTTGAATTTGCAATAAGAAGAGGAAGAGGTGGAATTAGGTTATGTGATTTAATAGATAACATTTTACTATACGATGATTGTAGGATGCTTGTTTATTTTGCCTGTGATGTATAAATTATTTGAATTAGGTTATTATTTACAGTTCAAATCTATAATTTAATTAAAGGGCAAACAACCTATGAACGATATATTGAAAGATAAGGGATAAATAGAATGCAATCGAGAAAAGCAAGTGCGGAATAGTAATTAAAACTTATAAAGAGTGCTGCCAGCACAGATACAAGTGAGAGCGAGTTTAAATTTACAATAAAAAGTTAAAAGAAACCTTTGCTTAAGGAAACTGAATTAATTGTATGATAAACAATAAAATTAATTTTTCACACTTTTTTTATTACTCTGAAATCTTTTGATAACTAATTCTCTTCAAACTATAAAAAGTCATATATAAAATTCTTACAATTTTGTCATTTAGATTTATCACTTCATCGTGCCATTTCTACAAAAATTATTATAGATACACAACTTACACAATCTCAATTTTGTTTGTTCTCACAAGTGAAAATCCAATAAAATGATCATCAAGACACTTTTGTTTCTGTAATAGAGATATTGAAAAGCGATAGAAAAATGTTTTTAGATCAAGTTAAGGATCTGTAATTTTTAATTAAACTGCAAATTAGATTATTGTCTTTAAGATATAGAATGGTCCCACTTCTATATCTTTGCCACACTCATTAAAAATATCTAAAATCTACTTTCCATTTAAATTTTGCTTAATGTTCAAAACAGCTTTATCTGAAACACATTGCCAGGGCAAGTGATCAAAATAAGCAAATAACAATTAAGCAAGTAGTCTCATATCAGTTACATGTCCTATTCGAAAGTTGTGAGCATCAAATTGTTTCTTTAAACTTTGTAACTCCTCAGTATTTAAAGGTTGTTAATTTGTAGGTTCACCAATAAATGCTTACACAATCTATTTTGGAGTTATTAATTAGTCTTCCAATAACAATAAAAATCGATTGAAAATAATATAAAGAGGTGCAGGAATTAACTTGGTTTTGTTTTTCAAATCATTCAAAACATATTGGTTTTGTTATTCTACAATGTCATCATTGGTGAGCCCAGATAATTTTGGATAATCAAACCATTTTCTATTTTATAAGACTATTTCTTATTATATTTTAATACATTTCTCAAACGCTTTCAACAAATCTCTTTAAGCACTTTTATTCAAGGAATCCCTTCTTCTAGACTAGAATAACTTAATAGCATCGTCAGCAACCATCCTTTCTCCATAAATTAACCATGCCGCTATTGCCACTCCTGTTCTGCCTGTTCCAGCATGACAATGCACAGCTACTTTCTTTCCTTTTTTTTACATCAGGTCGAATGCTGAACATATTTTGAGGAGGTTCTCATATGTAGTATCAGCTGTCATATCTTCCCAACCATAATTGAAGAAGCTAATCTTAGCTATTAATTAGATTTGAAATACCTGATTACAGGGATTCAGGATTATATGAAAATCCAACACCAGGAATTATACCAGGTCCACATTATGCATGTTCTCCTTACAATTGCAAATTTATAACTGCTCCAATGTTATGACTTTATATGATAATCTCTTTACGATTAGAATTGAGGGACGACTGTAGGCATTAATTTCATACTCAGTCTCTACATAGCCAAAATGTCATCAGTTATCCAATCTGAATGTAATCCCTCTATGGCATTTTTATTTTTATTTGAATTAGCCTATTCCTTTTTACAATCTTGACCTCCACAAAAATAGCAGATGAAATTATCTAATTCTTGAATTGGTGCAGGACCAGTTTTCTTATTTTTCAAACTGGTCTTCGGCTCAAATTTGTTACTGCTTATCATCTATTGTCTTATAGTATTCCTTTATTGTGATGATGATAGAGCCCTGGATTATTGATTGTCTTATTCTAATGGTGGTAATCTACGAGAATTTGAGTTGGCATTATCCATTTTAATTAAAAATAAAAATCTAACGTATATGAGTTAGACAGAATAGCAAGAGTATAATTATGATGCATAATACTTGGAGATCTTTGGATGCAATCATACTACAAGACAGATTCATTCAGAAAAATTGATTTGTCAATAATGTGGCATATTTATCAATAATGTAATAGAGCTGTTTTAAATTAAAGTCAACCACAAGAGTTTACAAAACAATCAAAATGAAGTACAACACCTTCTTCAATCCCCCTTAAAGATTTTGAGCAACATCTTGGCACCAATGACAATCGCTAAACACTAAATCGCTAGGTTGCCAATAATAGATTTCCTGGAATAAGCATCTGAAAGATTAAACCTAAGTACAAATACTGCCTTTTTGGCTATTACTTATATTGATCACTTTTTCAATAAAGGTAATGTGAATGAAAACTAGGTTTTCTTATATGCTGCTGCCGCTCTGATGCTGGCAGCTAAAGCTTAGGAGCTCGATGAGAGAATCCCTTTCATTAGTAAACTCAAACGCTATTCATCAATGACCTCTCATCCTGAAATCAATAACTTCACTACTTAAGAATTTTGTAATGCTGAAAAAGCCTTAATTGAATCCTTAAATTGGAAATTATAGAGAATTACACTCCTAGATAGAATAGAATCGCTACTTTCCTTTGGAGTCATTGAATGATGATGACAGTCTCTCCCAACCACCCTAATAGAAGGAAAACAAAGAACAATTAGTAAATCATATTAAATTGAGAGACCTAAATGAAAAATAAATCACTAACTATGTTAATGAGGTTGAAAACAAATACATAGAAACCGCTTATTCTGTGATTAGAGGTAAAATCAGTTAAATAAGTAGATGATCAAATTTATTTTTCAAACGATCAAACTATATTAGCCTTGTCTTGCATAGCTTTTCTAAGGAAAAAGGCTGGGTTGCTAAACATCTGGTCTCAATAACTCTAAGCCTTAACTGGAGAATCCGCTTAGAAAATATCAGCTACTGTATCTTAGATTATGACTCTGACTCCCAAAACTGTAAGCAAACCTATGATTAACACTTCATCGAGTTCATACTTGAATAGTTATTAGAACTCGGCAACTTAAAATAAAAGTTCTTATATGAAAAACAGACAATACTTATTTGAATCAAATAAATCATCAGCAGGTGATATCATATCGCAATATAATAATACTGCTAAATCACATCTCAAAGTTCCCTTATTTCAATCTTAATCCACAATGCAATTATCTTCAAAGAGTGAGATAATGAAACCTCATCAAATAAATTAAACTAAATATTCGAGTCGAATTAGCAATTTTACTACTACTAACAATTATTCATACTTATCTGATAATATTGTCCATCCAAATTCTTACATAAAACATGCTGAATTAGATAAAAAATATGAGTAAATACATAAAGTCAGCGAGACAAAATTTAGAACTAAAATATTCAGTTGATGAATATTTGTTAAAACACAATATTTATATTGTTATAATACTATTTTGTTAATCATCATAATCAATTGTGAAACAAATATCTTATAGCTTCATCAATAAATTTATAAATATAGGAATATTATTCTGAAGTATGGACCATGCCCCATCTTTGTTCTCTCAGTCTACGCACTATTCCAAAGATGGACAATCTATAAAGATCTGGATTTTCTTCCAATTCTTGATATAAAACGTGAGTACTTACTTTAAATATCATCGCCAATATTCTATTTGTAGGCTTTAAGTAAGATCATTAAATTAGATAATGCAATCAAAGTTCCAGTTCTTCCTACTCCAGCACTAAATTAAAATAATCCTATTCCTTTAATACCTGCAATGAAAAACTACTTTTTGATCTGCTTACAACTTTTCATTAATCATATTTAATAATTCTCGAATCACATCAAAATCACTTGGGGATGGAACTCCTTAATCTGGCCAACCACACCATTGAATTTGTTAAATATTTCTCTCTTCTCCCTCTTAGGTTACTTTCAAAACTCGTTTTGTGATATTATTCCCAAGATCATCTTGGCTCTGAAGATATATTTGAATATTTCCGCAAATCATAGTTTCTCCAACATTTCTCGGCCAATATTATTCACATTATGCCTGCATAGTATAAATTTACTAACTCTTTGGTTCTCTCTCAAATTGCACAACATCACTACCATATTCATATTTTCTTATATAATCATCTTCCAAAAGTGACAAAATGTTTAGATCAAAGGACCCTATGTAGCCACAATCATCCTCTCCTTCCCATTTATTAACTATGTTGACAAACCTATCAAATACATTGATAAAATTCGCATTAATATAGCATTCCCTTAGATTTTCTTCTTCATCACCTTCGCTCCTTAATTTTACAATTGAATGCTTGACTAATTTATCACTTATTTATATATACATAGTATGATGTTATTATAGCGATTTAATTTTTGAACATCAGGATGAAAGTCAAATAAATTATCGTTATGATATTAAGTTTCTGTTAATCTACGTAATAACTTGATAGAAACTAATCAATACTCTGAATTCCATCTCTAAATCTCTTTTTAATAATTCTTAACTGAAGTGTAAAACTGAAATTCCTTTTTCGATTGCTACTAATTCTGTGTTGCCTTTTACCCACTCATAAGAATAATCTCTACTAATTTCCTTACCTTCTACTAAGAAGCCTTGCATTTATTTTATTTTAATAAAATGGAATAAATAACTTGCAGACAATTTTTAAAGCATATCTTCATCATCTCATGCGCTAAATTAAAAAGTCTGTTCGATATTGGATTAATTATTTCACTTAATACAAAGTAAGAATGTATTAAATATTATAAGAAATAAAAGTATTTGTTTAAACTTTTAATTTTGAAATATCTCTCTTGTATCATGATAGGAATATGATCTGATTAATTGATAAACGTAATTTAATAAGGATGTTAAAACTCTTTTTATTTGGTTCAAATAAAAATCTGACTGGAAATGAGAAATTTAAATTAATTAAAGGATATTTAACAAAGTCTTAAGATTGATGATTTTATAATATAAATAAAAAAATCAATAAAGTTGAAATCAGTTTTTTAAAGGATTAAGTGATTTCGATTATTATGGTTGAAATGCATCATTCAAAACCTAATCTAATGCTTAATTTAACGAGCATTGCCGATTTATTATTAATTTTTTGTTTTTTTAACAATTTAAATTAGAATCGAATTATTATAAGCCAAGTCTATCATCGAAATTCTATTCGATAATTACCTTGTAAGCGTCCTAATCTGGTTCTGATTACAAATTATTGTTATTATTTATCTTAATGATATTTGTGATGGGTTCCTCCCTCTATGACCCCTGTCCTTACTACTCTTAATATTGGGGTACTTCTTATTCTTAATGTTAATTGTCGTTTTGTGATTAAGATTCGTCGTCTAACTAAAATGAAAACTATAGCTTTTTATTTTTATTGGGTATGAGTTCTGATTTCAATTAAAATAGTAGATCATCAGAAATAAAAACATTCTTTTTTTCCTATGCTGAATTGAGACCACTATATCTTTACTCTTTAGAAATCAAAAATGGATGTTAAAGGAGATCTTCTGCTTCCCATCTGTCTTCTGGATTCAGTTGCAGACATCTTTTAAGAAAGTCTCTAGCCTACTCAGATTTCAATTCTTCAGGAATAGGAAAGGTCTCAGTTAACTTGCTTATTTTGACCATGACGGTGTATATATTCTTAACTTCAGAGAATGGAGGATGTCCAGTAGCCATTTCAATCATTGTGCAACCTAAACTCCAAATATCGGCCTTCCTATTTAACACTTAATAGATTGATGATACTTTCCATAGTGTTACTAATTCGATGATCTCTGGAGCCATATAATTTGGAGTGCCACATAGGGAACCAACAATATCATGTTTGATTTCAGATAATTATTTTCCACTTCCAAAATCTATAGAATAAAGTTTTAATGATCTACCTGCTAATTTCACTTATCCATTTTAATTGATTAAGATGTTGGCTCCCTTGATGTCTCTATGAATTACTCCTTTCGAGTGTAGGAAGTGCAATCCTAATAGAATCTATTTCAAATAAACTCTAATTAAAGACTCCTTGAATTTCGCCAAATCTTTTGATCATTGTGAGAACGGAACCACCACTGACATACTCTAAGAAAATATTTAATTAGTCATTTTTTGTTTCTGAACCATAATAACGTACTATATGAGGATGCTGTAACTAACTCAGAATTTCAATTTCTCTTTAGATAGATTATACTTTCTAAGATAAACATTTGAATTTACATTCTCGTCTCCATTCTTGATAAATACTTGTTTGACAGCCATAATTTACCCACTCACCCTATTCATACCCAAGACAACTCTACCAAATGCTCCTTGGCCTATCATTTCACCTTCAGTCCAAGTGATCTATTTTTCTTATTCTTATTTTTCTTATTTTTCCTATGCTTCTGGTTTCACCTCTTTGGGAACAACAGGCTCATGACAAACCTCAAAATAATTTGATTCTTCAGGTTATTAAATTGGATGTTCATCACAACCTGCATTGGCATACTTTTTATGTTTAGTTTATTTAGTTAAACAACAACCCATATAATATAAAGAAATTAAAAATGTAATAAAAGCAAAATTAAGCCAAAATAAGGAATGCCTTGCAATAGTAGCTATTTCCGAAGATGCAGAAGAAAATAGAGCAACCGAAAACATAGCCTAAAAGGTATAATATGATTCCCATGATTTATATTAAGAGCCATAAGGATAGAAGATGAAAACAAACTATCAATAGCATTACCACATATTGAGACTATTGCCGTCAACTTCAATTCCAAGTATCAGCTAGGCAATATGATTGGAGAAGGTGCACATGGATTAGTGAGAAAAGCCATCAAAGTCGAGACTGGAGAATAGGTAGCAGTCAAAATTTCCAGGAGTGGAGATCCTGAGCTTATCAAAACTTTTACTGAAGCATATAAAAATACGAGAATACTAGATCATGAGTTCATAATAAAAGTCTACGAATGTTACATAGATGAACAATCAGAAACTTTATATTTGGTAATGGAGTACTCAAATTTACGCAGCTTGGAGGATGTAATTAAAAAACACAAGAGATTAACGTAATTGTATATCCTTCAATTAGGGAAGAATAGGCCAAGATTTTGATTAGACATATCCTATTGGCCCTTCAGCATATTCACGAAAGAGGAATAGCTCATAGGGACCTGAAACCTGATAATGTATTGATCAACAAAAAGTCTCTTGACATCAAAATCATAGACTTTGGAGTCAGTAGAAGATTCAAGAAATACAATGGCGGAGAATTTGTCGACGTGAACATGTGGACTAGAACTGGAAATGTTTATTACACAGCTCCAGAGATCTTGACTGGAGGAGGCTATGATGAAAGAGTGGATCTCTGGTCCCTAGGAGTCTGTCTATTTCGTATCTTGAGTGGCCAGTTCCCTTTCTTTGAAGATAGTGTATTGGGAACTATCGAGAAAATATTAAAAGGCAATTTTGAACTTAATGAGGATATTTCCTGGCTTGCTCGTGATTTAATTAAGCGACTCCTTGATCCCAATCCAGCTCAAAGATTATCAGCGTAATGTATATTTTAGAGATTCACATTATAGTGGCTCTACAGCATCCCTGGCTCTATCATTACTAGATTGATCCGATATCACCTAACAGCACCGAACTCATAAGCAAAGCCAATTGCAGGGCTAGTGATGATATTTGTGACATCTCTTAAGGTGGAGACAAGAATGCATATTACGGTAGGAACCTTCATATGAGAAGCAACACTATGACCAAGAGTCCAGTCTTGTAGGAACCAAATATTAACACAGATACAAATTCAAAATCTCCCCTTAATTTATTAAAACAAGAAATCGACGAAGATATTCAATAGTCTCCTTTAATTAAACTGAAAAAAATACAAAATCAAATGAATAAAGAAATCAATATCATAAGAAAGAAAGAGTCTAATGGACAAGGCTTACTTAGAATTAGGCAGATATTGCAAATGGAAAAATTAGACATCATACATGAAATTTAATGACTATTATAATAATAACTCTTAATATCAATTTCAGTTTATTATATATTTCAAAGCATTTCTGGATATGTTTGATTTCTTGGTTAGTATGTTTGATAATTAGGGGCAATTTACTAGATTGGACCCTATTAGATTTTGTATTGAGGAATTCTAGTAGCCAGTATTGAAGAACTTGGCCTCTTGTTTCTGGTTCATCTCTTAATACAAATTCAAGATTTATCTGAATTCTATAAACGAGATAAAATTATCATCATTCAGATCGAATATCTTGAAGATTGCATGCAACTCCTAAGGTTATGCGTTTCTTTGAATCTTTCTAAAATAATTGTTTATTTATTTACATTAATAATTGAGCAAATTCTTAAAAATTGAGAAGTCCATCAAGGTCTTAATCGAATTTTTAGAATAAATCATGAACATTTATATTGAATCTTTGAATTGTTTATTGCAACTTTTAAATGGTTTTCTCAGGATCAAATACAAATGCTTGCATAGGCATTTTATTCATTTGAGGTGTTGATTAAGATTGACCTAAAAAAGGTTATTATCCCATCTATAAGTTTCGAGGGTCCATATCTTTTTGTTTCCCAGGATAATTTTAGATATTTTTTAATGATGGTATTTACTTATTACTCAACATTTTTTGATTCTAACGACCCTTCACTTTTGAAATCACTGCCATCTTTGTATTGTTATCTGTTATCCATTTTTCAAATTCCTCCAATGACACAGAATGATCTCCATCCAAATCTAATTTTTTAAATATCACTTAGCAATCTTATCGACTAAGAGTTTAGTCTATTGTATGCAATAATTGAACTAATTCTGAAAACTACAATGTTTGATCTCCATTTTCATCAAATTCTTAGAATAAAGTTCGAATATTCAAACTTTATTTGATTATTTTCTATCTTAATTCATTCATCAAGAACTTGATTTATTCTTCCTTTATATGTGCCTGATAATTCTTAAAATAATCTTTAACCAATTTATGTTTGAATACTTCATCCCAATTCATTCTTTCTGATTCCTCCATAGCCAAACAACCTTCTATAAATGATTTCATATCGTCACTAACTGATGTTTAATCATCAGGAAAGTCTAACAATTTATGTTCAATATTATGCAACAATTATTCTATCCTTGTACCACTCCATGCTGTATAACCATACAGAACATTGTATAATACCATTCCAATCGACCAAATGTCACATTTGCTTGTATATTTACTATTCGCCAAGACTTAAGGAGAATGGAATTTAAAGTCTTCATCCTTACGTGATTGATCTGTTTTGAAATTCTCCATACATTTTGTTAATCCACAATCTGAATAAACTTATTATTTTTACCTGCTAATTTATATCCATTAGCTGTTAACAGAATATTAGTCAATTTTAATCCTCTATGAATTATCCCGTGGTTTATTAATTCAGTGAACCCTTCCAGAAGATCTATCAAAAGCTTAATACATTCCGATTCAGGTAATTTATGAATTTATTGCAAATAAGTTTGAAGATCTTATTTACAAAATTCCATGACAACATAATAATTGTTGTCTGTTTGTATTACTTCTACCAGCTAAACTATTTTTGGATGCTTTAATTTTTGCATCAATTTAATTTCATCCAACAATGCACATTGGAGACCTTCATCGTCTGTTATGCTATTTTTTTTTATTATCCTTAAAGCATATTGATTTTTCATAGCATCAATGGCTTTTACAACCTATCCTTAACAATAAATGGCTTACTGTCCCTGTAGACCCCATCCCAAGCATGTCCTTTGGATTATACGAGTATTTGTCAATTTATTTCATTAAGAAAATTATAATTTCAGCATTTCTTATCCGTAGCGTTGTATATTAAAATTAAGAAGATAATCATTGAAAAATTATAGAATAAAAAGAATTACTGCTTTTCCTTTTACTCTGAACAACAATTTTAGCTTATATTTATTTCAGTATATTTATTTATAACTCCCTGTCAATATTTATTAATTTCTGAATGTTTATTAAAATTCTTTTCCAAAATCAATAAAATATATGTATGAACTACAGATTTAGAATGTTTTCAAAAATAAAGACTAAAATGACTTAAAGAATGGAGGACAATCTGATATATATGAACAATTACAAATAAAGAAATTAAAATTAGAAATGATTTTATTAAGATTTGGATATTGATATATTGAACTTCATTATCAAAAGACCTCTTCTCTAATTTGGAGGAATTCTGATGCAGCGCTCAACTTTTAGGTGAGAACTTCTTATAATCTCTCAACAACTTCCAATTATTATTCTCTTTCAAAGGTTTGAGCTTCATATTGGGATTCTTATTCAGCAGCCCATCTTTCTTAAATGGCCAATGAATCTTCAGCATCTTCAAGGAATAACTATTGAAATTTAGGATTATATTCTTACAGTTTAATCTTCTAAGTCTTCGACAGCTTCTTAGATGGTGACTTTGAATTAGACGATTGAATTTTCTAAGAATGCCTTTCTTTCAACTAATCTCTTGTGTTCCTCTTATAAGTGACCGCTTTAGACTTCCCAGTTGGCAGCTTGTCTTTCTTCTGTGGCAAGAAGGGAAGCTCTGCTGGCAACTAATTATTGTCTGATTTAAGCTAAGAGTTCTAAGATCTTGATGATGCTCTTGTTATCAACCTTGGAGGCTAAGTTGTGTCAAGGCATTGATGAGTGGCTATTACAGTAGAAATAGTATTAGTACCTTGAAGAGAGCGATGCTTGGATTCCATCAATTTGGCTTAGACTTTTTCGAATCTACTTTTGAGTTGAGCAAAGGCAACACCAGCTTACAAGTGTTAAACGATCTTTGAGGCTTCATCAATGGCATCGATTTAATCAACGTGTTCTGCATCCTTTCTAACCCATGTGTCATGTTATGATTGTCTTGTAGCAGATTCATCAGCAAAGCTTTTTTCGTTATTGGCAATGTCTGAGGTTACAACTCTGACTTCAACTTCAGCTTCACCCAATGCTTCGGTTGTGGAATCTCTCAAATTTGAAAGAGCAACAATTTGGGTTTAGTGATAAGCAATTTCTTGTTCTAAGTCAGCAATGATCTAAATAATATTATTATGCTTACCTTTTCGAAAGCAACTGTATCGCTCTCATGAACTTTATCAGCTTTCTTTTAATCTCCGTTGAGTTGGGAAGCAATATTGTTTAAGAGAATTTGAATTTCACCAACAGGTCCTCCTGTGGCCAATTAGAGTTGAAGGACTGACAACACTGAATTTCCAAATGAATCTTTGTTAACTTAAGCCAAGATTTCCTTTGGACTTTCTGTCTTTGCTACTCTAGCAGTTGCGACTGCAAGGATAAGAGTCAATACAGGGACTATTCTCATGTTATTAATATTAATGAAATGAAATCACAATCACTCTCCAAGACATTAAAAATTACCCGTTTTTTAATTTATTATCTCACCTTCATTAATACGTTTTTGTTTTTAATTAAAAACTCACTCATTTTATTATTATTTCTAATAAAACACTCTTTCATTTCATTCATTGCCTCTCTCAACTATCCTTTTGGTTTATGTTTATCTCAATTATTACCAAACAGATTTTAAAAATCAAAGAACTCTATTGCTTTTAGATATAATTCACTTTATTTTCGTAATGAAGAAATTAAGATGGGATAAAGGAAATAGGGAGTTAAACATTAAATTAGTACTTTTATAATGAAATATCAAATACCCAAACAATTATAATCCTTAGATACTAAATGCGTTTACGATCAATTTAAAGATATAAATATAATATGAAATTTAGACTTGAATATGGTAAGTTATAGCGAGATAACCATTCCAGAAATATCGCATTTTCAATTCTCTTTCTAAGTCTCATTAAATATAATTTTAAAATCATAAAAGAGTAGATAAATAATTATCAATTATTTTATAATAGAAAATCTTAAATCTAGTCTAATCTAATGTATCTATTTTTGTAAAAGAGAATACTCTCAAATTTACTATTTGAAAGTATTATCCACAAGATGTAATTGAAAATATTGAGATAATTTTATTTTATAAATAAATAAATTCAAATATGCAATAGATTTTTGATTTCTTAATTGTTTATTTACTTAGCTAATAAATAAGGACTCATCTACCGATAGGGCCATTTCTTCAAATTAGTTATTAATAAATAACTTCTTAGATTAAATGCATATTAGCTCCTTTTGATAACAAGAATTAAATCATTTTGACATTTTCATCTTTGACCGCTCTATAAAGTAATGTTAAGCCTTAGATGAATTAATCAACTGGGTTCTTCCTAAAGTATTCTTTTAATTCAAAATATTCTTCATCTTGGTACCACTTTAGCAATTCAACATTTTCTGGTTCAATAGATGATTTCAAGAATCTTTTCCTTATTGTGGATAGAAATTCAAACGAAGGTTGAGATTATTCAAATTTAGGTGGCTGATTAATAATTGGTTGGTGCAAGGATTGGCTAGCATGCATTCTGTTGAGTCGACTATGAGAGAATGATTTGATTTAAGCTTAATATTTGAGGGAGACAATGGAATTAATTTCTGATCTTACAAATTCCATGGCGAGGTGCTATTCGGAGATGTCTTTTTGGACTTATTTTTCTATGGCTACAATTTTCTTATTTTCTAAAGGTGGTAGGATGTAAGTACTCTTCTTGCGCATTTAATTATTTAACAATAAAATTATTAAAAGTATGAAATCAAAATAGGCGTAGACACCTGAATAGATATTACACATTCTGAGATCTTTCAAGTCCTTAATGGGGAAATAAAACTCCATGAGTCCATAGACGAGATGTCAAACTTGTGTTCAGACTGTGAAAAAGGAGGGAAAATAAACATTTGATTGTTTACTAACATCTCCAATGGTGATGATGGAGGATTAAGAATGCGTGAGGGAGGGAGTGGAGGAGAAGATAGAGATTTTGTCGAATCAAATAAAGTAAATGCAGGTAAAATAGGAGCAATTGGAGAGTCAACACTATTAATTAAGCAAGAATGTAAAGAAGTTAAATCTCGATAAAAAACAACAATTGCAAGTATGAAATAAGAATAATCAATTAAGGAAAGGAGTTAGATGGTAAGAAAATTGGATTAGATGATTGATATCCAGACAAAGTAGGAAGATAATTTAAATTAGTTAAAGTAACTATTTGCCTCTCGAAAAATAATTTGACAATCTTTATAAATATATAGTTAAACAAGGAAGAATGGATCATTATTAGTATACTCTATATTATTTGTTTGTTTTTTTCAAATATTTTAGACAAAAAGATTAACAAATTATTATTTTATAAAAACTATTCTCAACAAACAAACAAAATATAATGAAAAAACAAAGTGAGAATGATAGGATAGCCTAATAAATATATACCTCTTAGATGTAGAAATTGTAGGGCAAGATATTAGAAAAGAAACTCACTAAAGTGTGTTCAAAACAGCAATTTGAGAGCCAATCATAAAATATCTCGAATAACAACAGTCCTGTGATGGGACGTTAAAAGTCGTTTGAAAATTTATAGAAGGTGAATAGAACATTCGTAAATCCCACTCTTCAGGTGTCTCAACAAAAATTGAGTAGCATTTTAAATGTCATGGCAGGCTAACAGACGAAACCCAAAATTTAGGGTTTATTTAATAATGAATTAATGGATACTGTGAAGATCACTCATAAAATACGTAAGAACTAATCCATGATCTAAATTGATTAACCATCACCCTAATTAACTAAGAATTCCTCATTTCATCGTCCCAACTCAAGTGTCAAAATAAAGAATAGTAATAGTGTATCCTATGAGTAATCATAATTATAGAAAGTTAAAGACAATATCAAATAACTATTATAAGAGAGAGATAGTAATTGGTAGTAGGATTAGAAGGAGATTGCCTTCATGATTAAACTAAACTAATCATTAAACCAATTACTTTCCATAATCTTTTATGAATAACCAAATACATAACCTACCTCGACTTAAGATACAAATTCGAGTCTACAATTAGATCATTTCTTCAAAAGATAAATTTCTATATTATAACAATCCTTCACTTAATAAACGGAAAAGAAAAAACTTGAAAATATTCTCACTTCAATCAAAAGAAAACATGAAAATATGCTCAATGACTACAATTAGTTAATAGAGTAGAAGAAATCTTAGGAGGAAGTAATTAAGAATTTGTAATCACAAATTCAAGGATTGCAATCCAAAATAAATACATAATAAAAGGAAACGAAGACTGAGGAAGGTATTTATTAGATAATAACCAATAGAATTCTTAGAATTGAAGTATCTCGTATAAGGACAATTCGAGGCAATCTAAAAATTATTGTAAAGAGAATAGTTGACAAAGATATTTTTAAAGAGAGTAGGAGACAGTTCAATTTTAGAGTATCTATCTTTAATCATATCTTTTAGAATGTTTGATTAGTTTATCTAAAATGCTGAACAAACAAGCATGGATGACACTGAGGGAAATCTGAATATTGATGTTTTACCATCAAATAAGTTGATAACTCAAAAGAAATTAGTAGCAATGTAAGAATAAATGGGCTTACCTGAAAAGATTCTATCCTAATATGAAGAGAATTACAAAGAATAATTAAATTTATACGATTCTTTGTTGGCTGATGATTCTAGTAAGAAATGTATCTATATTTTATAGGAGTCAATGATTCAGAAGAAAGCAGTTTCGGTTATTTAGGGAAAGAGTAGGCCACCGAAATTAGTTGTTATTTTAATGATGCTGACTAATTCGTATAGACTTAACATAAGGGAAAGGGGATTCATACAATTTCAAAGGAAATGTTGAAGATAAATATGATGGGTGTACAATTGGCTTAGGCTGCGTAAGAATTAATAATAATATCTTTAGTTTAAAACGTCAAGAAATAGTTGAATAATAATAATAATAATAATAATAATAATAATTACTTTAATAAAAGATCTTACCAGATGATTTGATGGATAATGAAAACGAAGAATCTGAGGAGAACTTTTGTGATGATGAATGATAATTATCATTGGTGATAATTATGTTTGCTCGTTCTATATATGTATATTTCGTATAAGGTTTTAATGCTATTATTATTATTATTAATTTAAATATAATAAATAGAAGAGATTTAAAATCAAAAATTTGTAAAAGTTCAAACCCATTTCTTAAGTTTACCTTTGAACCAGAATCCTTTCTTTTCGTTCCCTTCCTTGTCTAAGAATATTCCCATGCCGTCTTACAACCCATTCTTCCATTGTCCCTTATAACAACGACCATCACTATAATTCATTTCTCCGTATCCATGTTTAAGTCCTTCCAAATATTGGCCTGTGTAAATTCGACCTGAAAAATAAGTTTAATAACAATTATCAAATACCATCACCCCACTTCATAGTACCATTTCCATGTTTATTTCCATTCTTCCAATAACCCTCGAAAACTTTCTTTCTATCTGGCCAAATCTAATAATAAGAATGAAATTTACGAATGTCCCATATCCATGAAATTAGTCATTTTCAAATTCTCCCTCATATACACAACCATCAGCCAATCGAATTATCCCAAGTCCATTTTTCATACCCTCCTTGAATTTACCTTCATAGGAAGACTTGTCCTTGTAGATCTCTTTACCCATCCCATGTTGTAATCCTTTCTTCCATTCACCTAAACATTTTAACATCTGATACCTTAATAGATGCGACCATCAGAATAGACATACTCGCCATTCCCATGGAACATACTGTCAAGCCACTGTCCTTTATACATCTCGGTACCGTTTACGTATGTTGCCTCTCCTTAAAGTTCATTGGAAGCCCACTATGATATTATTATTATAATATTACAGTCCCCTCGACATAGCTATGAATAATAAATATAAAAGATACCATCTATCTTGGAATTAATATTTACCTTTTCCATTAGCTTTGCCATCCTTCCATTCTCCCGTATAGATAGCTCCGTTCTTCATCAAAATTGAAGATTAATCATAATCGTGGAGTTAGTTAGGATCAAAGCAGAATTTCTACTGCTCCACTTGAGTGGGTGCTGAAGTCTCTGGAGATTGTAAAGTTGTCATAAGAGATTTACGAGCCTTATGACCTCTGTAGAGTGCTTATATTATGACGATTTTATTCTCATCATAAATAGCAGTACTATCCTCCTTGATGACTGTTTCTGTTTACTTGTGCCCACTTGAATCCATTGTGGGTAAATCTTCAGTTATTATTGGTTAACTCTTGCAAATGCCCATTCGGAATACTTTTTATCAAAATTATTTTATATTATCAAAATCCTTACTTATTTGTGAGGCTATTATAAAAGAGGTGATAAAACAATTGGTCTATATAAACAATTAGCTTAAATGGACCACAAACTCTCATTAATAGTATATTATTTATACAATATATTTAAACATATTTCCAGAACCAATACAGAACACAACAAATATATATCCACAATTTGCCAAAAAGCTGTGGATCACAACATATAATTTATTTAAATTTGGGGATTTCCAACTCTACTCCTCTTAATTGTATATTAAAAAAATAATTTAAATGTAATAGAGAATGCAGTACCTATCATTGTTAATTAATATAATAAATTTATTTACTTACAATTTTTTTAATTAATTTAACTAATTTAAAGTATTTATTATTACGCTTGACAACGAATTATAAGTTGTATTATAATATGTATTTGTATTTATTTTTAGAATAAATTAAATTGAAAATTTTTAGATTACACTTCAACAACTTTAATAGCACCTCTCAAGAATGACAAGGTAAATCACTCATTAAATTCGTAATCCCTTTGGAGAAGATTGGTTGAGGAAAGAAATTGAAATTTAAAAATTTGGATAGTTTTACAATGTACAATAATAATTTTGAGACTTAGCATGGACAATTGGAAATCAGCTTTATATTCAATCTAAAATTAAACAAAACAAAATAAGTATATTGGTTTTTGACTAGAAATTAACCATTATAACTTGAAACTAAAAACAGGCGTAGACAATAAAATATAAAATCATATCTCCTTATAAAATGATACTTTAATATATCATCATTTAATTAAATCATCCAAAGCTTGATTAAATTCGGTTGGTACAACAGATTTATAAGGATATAAATCAATAGCTTGTTAATTCTATTCTTCGAATTGCTGTTAAATCAAACCCTTTATTTCAGGCTTAATAGTGTTTAAATACTCTTTAGTTTTAGCTGATAATTCCAAAGACAACTTCGGCTGATTAAAGAAAATCAAATAATTTTAAAACTTTTTAATCGAATCTAAATATATGGATTTATAATTTACTAATTAAATCTGCACTTTTTGCTTGTATGTCCTTTAGAAATTCAATCAAATATTCTTCTTCTACAGGAGAACCCTCCTTGATGTTTCTATTCAAAAATGATTTCTCCTTCGGCTTTCTCTTTCTAACTCCTGTAGTCACAGACATTGTGTAGGATGACTTTGACATTCCTGATTTCCCACTTACATCGCTCATCTGATCAAAATCGGCATTTATTTAAGATGGTGCCAAAATACCATGTTCTTTCTTCTACTCTTAGACTATTCTTAATCTCTCTAATTTTTAAATGAACAAATGTTGTTAATTCAATAAATGGTTCACTTTCAAAGAGAATGCCAATTATAAATGATCATCAATATTTATTTATTTGTGTCTTAAGCATTATGCAACACTTTCCCACTCTTCTGCTTTACAATAATAATGAATAGCTTATTCATGATTCTTCAAATACTCTTAAACTTATCCACAATCCTTCCATCTTCCAGCTGCCAATAATATCTAATTATAGTTTAACAAATAATCCTCCTTTGGGTCAAATGATAGAATTCTTTTTGTATCTAATATTTCAGAAGATGCTTAAACTGCTTTCTCATATAATCCAGCACTTTCATAAGCTAAAGATGCTTAATGATATTATTTTTGATTATTCAAATATTCTCCCAAAGCCTCCTTTACTTTTTTCATCATTCCTTAATCCTATCTATACACTTCTAAAGCTATTCTGAATCTACTTTATTTTCTAATTAATTCAATAGATTTTTATTTCTATTCCTCATTTCCTTCTGACAACACTCTAATAGCCTTATCATAATTCTTTAACTCAATATGAATGGTGGATTTCATATCGATTGGATCTTTTATTTATGAATATCTTTCCAACATAGGCAAATATTCTTTAGGATCCTTCTAAGTGAATTAAGCAACCTACTTCACCAAATCGAAATCATAAGTCCCCAAAGCTACTTCAAACATCTTATTAGCATCAGCTAACCAGCAAATGTATTCTAAAACTTACTCTGACTTAATTTTGTGATGCTTTCTATTGTAATAAAATTAATTCAATACTTGAAAGGTTTGTGAGTTTCTGGATTCAAATGAGGAGGGACTTCTTCTTATTATTATTCTATTTGTTTTAATTTCAATGTCTTCAATAGAGCTTCTTCAACTTCGCTGGGTTCCTTCTTAAGCATTGCTGTCACTATCGTAAGTATATGAGTTTCCCTAAATTTAAAGATATAAAGTACTCCTTCATATTGTCAATCAACTTTTAACAAACATAATTAATTTTGGATGTTCCCAAAGTTTTATCCACTATTAACACTTTCTGATGTTTGTACTGTTCGGCCGTCAAAACATAAGGAAGTTCAAAACTGATTTCATTATTTAATGATTAAATAAAAAGTTAAAGATATTATTCCGATAACTATTCAATGATCTAGACATCTAATTCACCTGAAAAATCAAACATAAGATTCATGTCCAATTTATGCTTTCTAATCATTTCAAAACATGTTTTATATTGCTTGCTTTCATAAAGTTATTTGCATAAATGCAATGCCATAACTCTAGGAGCTGTTGTCTCCAAGTTTCCTCTTGGTATTTAGACGATTAGTCTATCTAAAGAAACAATCGCCAAAATTTTAGCACCTCTTTCTATATTACTAGTATTCAGACTCTTCTTATCAATTTAGATTGGCTTATTGAGATCTAGTATATATAAATTATGAAATTAGTCTGCTGTGTTAATAGTAAATGCTAAGAAATGATCAAAAAATGCAAATGAAGTGCATTCTGCAGTTACTAATTGATTATTTAATGTTAATTTGCTATTAGATTTCAGACAAGCAATCCATTCATTATGCTGTTAGATCTTTATATCATAAACATTTTATTCCTTATTTGCCAAATCAAATTCACTTAAGCTTTCTTCTTATGACTAATCATATATAAACTTTTCTCCAAATCTTGAATGCAATATTATTTAATGTCCCTTTTTAGTTAAAGCAGACACTTAAGTAGGTTAAGAGAACTCTTTTCTCCAAATATTTATAATTTCAAAACTTGGTGAGATCACAACATCCACTAATTTATCACTTTCAGCTTCATGTACAACAAAAATAGCATGACAAAAAATGACATCCTATTATTTATCCTAATAACAAATCAATTTATGTGCATATTCAATATCTAATTTAACTTTTCCCAACACATTGGCATTATCAAATATTGTTAGAGTTCCATCAAAAGAATAAACATAAATCAATTTATCAAAATAAACTAAATCTATTTGACTATCCACTTTTAACTAGAAATGACTTAAAGGGGGTGGGATTACTCCCTTTTTATAATCACTTACTAAAAGGGTATCATAATCAGTCGATAAACCTATAGTAGTATTATTAAATTGATAATTCAACCAAAAAATGCTCACATTATTTTAATTAAACACTACCAAAGTATTATTCTCAATGAATGTGTAATCTACTACTTTTTCAAACTTAAATGCTCTTTTTGCATACCATTTATAATTTTATCTTAAATGAACTGTTATTTTGTTTCCCTATTAGACAGCCAAAATAACTCCATCTGGACTCCATTTAACATTTGTAGAATCCTCGAATATGTTGAATTCTAAGTGTCTTAATCCATTCTTCTCCCAAAATATAACTTGTTTCTCTTAAATACCAGCAATGAATTAACTATTAGGCTACCATGAAACTGTATTAACAAGATTTCTGGGTTTCTCAAAGATTGCTTATACTAATCCTCCTTCAGGGTCTGACTTGCTTGGACTTCTGAATTTCTCTAATTGTACATCATATGTTTCACATATTCTACCATCCTAAACAGCATAATTTAATGAAAAAAACTAAATAATTTTAACAAAATGGCAATACTTTTCCATCGTTTTTAAAAGAAATAGAGACCAATTGATCAAGGATTCCTTCTATGTTAATTTCTTTAGTTGGTTCTATTTGTACATCAAAGCTCACTAATTTTCCATCTCCACAAACAACCACTAATTATTCTTGATTTGGATTCCATGCTGCACCCAATACTCCACATTCAAACTATCCAACGACTTCAGCCTCATCCTTTTACACTTTGATTATAGCTCCATCTCTATAAACAATAATTAATTGATCATTTTCCATTAAATATTGAAAGGATAGGATTTGAGAGTTATTCTGAATTTGTTAACCGACTTTGTAAGTAGTTTAAATCTAATATTAGTGGCATTTGATACGCTTATCGATTTATTATTGTATTCGTATTTGATGATGTTGGATTATTCATCAATTACATACAGTATTTTTGATAATTCATCAAATGTAAATGCTAATGGTTGTGAGATTTCATAACTAATGGAATAATTGTTAATCTGAGTACCTTTACTAACATTGAATTTATATTTCTTTCATTAATTAAAAAAATAATTAAATAATTAAATACTAATAATTATATTATAATAGTATATTAATTAGATCAAAAATAAATTTTATTCAAAAGAGTTGAGTACGAAAAGACTTAGGAACATGCAAAGATGGCAAAAATGATTTGATTTTAGGGCTACAAATATTCTTTTCTGTACAAAATCTTGGTAAGTTCTTCATTTGGTTTTGTTCCAAAATCAATTTGGCAGTTCTTGAATACTTTGAATATTTCATCATTGGTGAGTTCATGTGTAAGATAGCAGGATTCTCAGTTTCAATTAAAGTTTAGGTTTTATTTTTATTGTGTCTCCGAATTTATTTTATTCGAAATTGTTTCTTCATTTGTTGATACCTTTCGACATAAAGATTTTGAGTTTTTGTTTAAAACTTGCTAAGCTATCCACACTCATCACAATGACAACTATGCCTTCTTTTCTTTTACTTAATCTCCAGTATTTATTAATCGTAATTTGGAGGTAGACTAATCAATTTGAGTTACCCTCTCAGAAAGGGAAGCTTCTTAACTGCTTAAATTATCTCTAATGAGACATCTGAGTTAGAATTGGCACTTGAATGAGTAGTATCCCTTTATCGTCTTTGATGTTCATATATTGGACACGAAACATCAGAATGCAATTTTTGGAACATACTCTAATTTCCACATTCTTTACAACAGCAACTCTATCTTCTAAGATGTTTGATTTGCTCTAGTGATTGATAGGTAAGACTGAAGCTATTTCTTCTAGTTGTTTTAATATTACAATAATTCATAAAACTAATATATTATGATCAAATCAAAGTTGATTTAAATCTTACTTGGAATATTAATCTTTTAGAACTCTTCCAAATAATTGATTATTGATATTAACTTCAAATCCTGATGGAAGTGACTTTTCTGTTTTTTACCTATTTGGTCTATTGATTTTAAGAACTATTGGATTCATAACATTTTGATATATATTCTCCCCTTTCAAGATATCTCATCTTAAAAGTAAAGGGGATTGCTAGAAATCTAACGATTTCTTAGGGGATCCATCCTGTATTTGATTATATTTTAATTAATTTCATTTCTAAGATACATTGATTGATCAGTGTTTACAATTTAAAATAGTTTAATAATACATATAATCGATTTCACATTAGCTTTTTCGTCTATCTGCATGAGAAATCTTTAATTGTAGGAAGAACAATCTAGCTGAAACTCATGCATTCAGTTTTGAGTCTTCTATGTTAATAGTCAATATGTTTCAGACTCATCATTTACTTTTTTTATTAAATCAGTTGTTTAGGATCGATCCTGCTTCTGCTTTGCATTTATTCGAGTTGAATTGTTCGACTATGTGTAAGGTTTTTTCTTTTTATAACAAAAAGCTTTTTTGACTTTTTCTTTTTAATATATGGAACATCCTTATGTTTAATTTGGTATTCTGACATAGGCCCGCATTCAGAACAATTACAACTGTTTCTTCTAGGCTTTCGATCTGAATTGTTATAAAAAGAAGGAGCTTGACTCATAGATGTAGACATAGTTCTTGAATTCTTACTGATTTGCTATTTTTCATCATTCTAAATTTTCTACTAAAGTAATTCTTTTTTGGATTCTTCATTCTGAATTTGTAGTGGCACCCATTCGTTATTTTGATGAATTTATTAAAACTGGCTTAGTCTACCGCAATTATCACAATAACAAGAACGTCTCCTAGTTATGACTTCATTTTTAAAATGTTAAGAAAGATCTGGATACTTTTGTTAACTTGTTCTACGCCATTTAGCATACATCAATTAAGTACTTAGTTTATAAATAAATTAAATACATAAAATAAATTAAATGTAAGAAGTTATGAATTACAATGACATACTATTATTTCATGATTGGTTTATGTTTGAGTTTTATCAGTTATATTTGCCATTCAAAAATACTCTATGATTTAATAACCTTGTCAGTAAGGTTCGATAAAATTATTTAATTACATTATAATATTCATTCTTTGTATTCCGCTCGGAAAAGTCTACTAGTTAATTTTTACAATTTTACACTCTTTAGTCTTTTTTGATCACTTCAATTACTTTAAAAAATGATAGTCATATTATTGGATAACACAAGAGGATAACAAAATGAATGATTTCTTTAGTGATAGTTTATCATAATAATTAAAGGTGTGAATGAAATGTTATATCTTTGTAGAACAATTAAAAATTGAGACATTTCTTTTAAGAATTCCAATGTCAGTATTGATAGATGAATAAATAAAATTGTATTATTTATTGTCAGAAGGCTTAAAGAGATTAATTATTATTTATATTCAACGATAATCAAATATTCACTACATATCCCAATTTCTTTAATTCTTCCATCTTTTTTTTTGCTTTGGTTGCATTAATCAAAGTCTAGGACAAATAGATATTTTTGGGTAGTTGTCCAGTTTTGACTAGATTGAGAATGGTATCAAGTGTCCTTTCTGAAATCATATTGGAAGATAGATGCAAAGATGTAATATTCTGATTCTAAGTCAAAGCCTACAATATAATATTGGCACCCTCATCACTAATCTTATTCCTGGCTAATTTCAACTATTTCACTTTTTTACAATTTTTCAATTGTTCCGCAACAACATTGCAACCCTCATCTCCCAATTCTTAAAGAATAGTAAATATATCTTACCAGCATTAGACAGATCCACGATTTCCAGATTGTCATTCCTAAATGCCTGCAGGATGGGTTCAAACTTATCATTAATTTTAAAGGTCTTCTTCCTCTTTTCCTGTAACTTGGGAGTAGGAGATATCCCTTATCTCAATAATGAAACAGGAGGAGGAGGTTACAAGGAGGCATTATTGTGGATATCCTTATTGGGACTCTTCTACTTCAATTATTTCAAGGGAGTGATGGACTACAAACTATGAATAGCAGGTTCTGTTCTCACAGGACTTTTGGCTTGTTGCAATTGTGATTAGGATGTGTATTTCAACTCATGCATTGAATTGGATACCACATGGACAACCTAAGAAATCAAATTGTCATCATTGTCTATCCAATCAGCAACAGAGTTATCTCTTAAAAGCAGAGGCTCCTCTTGATCATATTTACTGAAACTATTCTCTACTTGATTTGTTTCATTGTGATTTAATTGAAATGTTAGAGAACACATAGAATCAAAACATTTATCTATTTCATGTTTTTTAAAATCCACTCTAATTTTCTTGATCTTCACATTATTGATTCGCTATTCCAACATCTTTAGAGTTCTGTCCATTTCATCTAATATGACATTTCCTTAGAACTCCTGATTGTATAGTAAATCCAAGGGTAATTCACCACTTTCAGTCTTGGTTGAAAAATACAGCAACCTATCCTTGGCTCCTATCTTCCATAAGTCTGCTTATTACAAAATTGATTAGATTGACTCCTTGATCTACCTCTTGGTTTACTACTCCAATGTTTATGTTAATCCATTCAATTACTCCAACAACTTATTCTCCTTCAGATCTAGCTACTAATGCAATTCTTTGAATTTCTCTCTAACTGTTATCTGACTCTCCTACAACATTATTGAATACTTTTCACTCAATGGCTCATAAAATTTAGACTCTGTTAACTCTTATTGTTTATCCAAGATTCTCTAATAATTCTGCATGATATTCTCAGCCTTCGATGCTATCTCTCTGACAACATCATCAACCGATCGAACCTCGTGATGTCTGTGATTACCGAATAAAGCACATTTAGTACAAATTCGAATCTTATCTGTCAAACATACTATCTCCAGTTTCTCCAGATGCTCTGTGCACAATTCAATCTTCTCATACGCCAAGTTATTCAAATGTAACTAATATTCTGGTTGCTCTATTGATGGTCTCTACTTCACTACCATTTTTAAAAGTTAACAATTCTTTGGAAACTCAGTTATGTGTGTCTTCCCCTTTGCAAGAATACTTTATATATCTCATTGTCAGAATTACTTATCCTCAGGACAGCATATCTGCTAACCATCAGCACTCATCAACATCTATTAAATGCACTTTTAGCAGATCGTGTGTCCACAATCAGGAAGCATCAGGGGAATATTCTCGAATTCATTGAATATATTATGGCATTACGGACAAATCAGCTCTTCCATTTTAATTAAAATAACGATATATCATTAAAGGAATACTATTATTTAATTATAAAACTCGTATTTCAATTCCAATACAAACAGAAAGGGTTATTAATATTTATTGAAATATAATTAAATAACAAATAAATTTTAACAATTATGATTTTCAAGTAAAATTTTGTAAAATCAGAATGTCCAAAATCTAACTTAAAACTTTTGTGTCAATCAAGTTATAATTGTAATATACATAATCGAATTTATGTCTCAATCATTTTATTTATTTAATTGTTAATTTGCATGAATTCTTCAATTATTAATTTAGAACCTGTTAATTTGATAGTCCCTATCAGGTATTAATCAATTCAATCTTATCTGAAAAGTGAACAATCAAGCAAAAATCACTTTATTATGAAATATCAGATTTTATTCTTCTTCAAAATTAAGATATTTTTATTTTAAAAATGCCTAAGATATTAGAAAGCATTTCTCGAACTTTGTTAAAATTAAAAAATGAATTCGTGTATCAGGCAGACATATTTGGCCAACCTCCAAGTTTTACAGTTCTCAAAAGAAGTAAATACACGACTAAATTTGGATTTGTAATGTCAATTTTGATTGGAACACTAAGTGCATACTATTTGATTACTGAAATCACGTCTATGATTTCAAAATCAAAGCCGTCGATATATTAAACAGAAATACAAGTGATCGAGACAGATGTAAAATTGAGTCTTATAATTAGTCCTATTATCTTCATAATGAAAATTTCACATTAGCAATATCAATTGCAAACCGCTTTTCAGAGCCATTAATTGGAATCAATAAATACTTTAATTTGAATGTGAGTCAGTGCAATAGAGAAAGGATTAGAAATCCGTCAACAGGAAATATAACAGTGTCATTGAAGTATAAAATCTTTAAGTTAGGTGCATTGAGATGCCCATAGAGCCTTGCAATATGTCGCATTTTACAACAGACCTTTAGTAAGAATACTTTAAGACGATAAGATTTGGAGGAGTTCAATGTATTAATAGAGATTATATAAAAGCAAATCCCCCGGTAAAAAATAATTTTATTTAATTAGGTTTTAAAAGGTCAACTCAATGCCTTAGAATATTAATATCTATATATATAATTCACAGCTTGCAAGAATAGTAGTAGTTTTCAGGGCTGTGCTCCTTAAGAAGAAATCAGAGATATCTTATAAGCAGGGCATTATAATATTTATAAAAGTGATTATATAGCCCAGCTTGATCATCCTGAAGAACCATATAAATAAATTATCACAAATGAATTCAGTGGTTTTTCTTATAGCACATCAAAAACGATTGTGTAGTCATACAGAATTGTACAAACTGCTACAGATGATGGATTGATTTGGGATGTTGAAAATGTTTGGTAAAATATTCAACAAACAGATTGGAGAGAAATATCAGACTTTTATAATCAATAATATCTAATTCTTCACGTTATTAAGTTAGACTTTAAATAGACTAATAACATTAGAACATATATCAAATTGTAAACGATTTTAGGAAAACTTGGTGGCATATTGCAAATATTTTTAATGGTTGTTACTATCATTTTAAAACCTATCATTGACAATTTGATGAAGCTAGAAATAGCAAACTCCCTCTACAGATTTCAAGATTCATCAGAAAAAAAATACACACCTGCAAACAGTAATAAGGAGATTGAAGGCTCAACTAGTTAGAAAAATGAAAAGCTCAACAAGTCGGTGTTTGAGACATTTCTAATAATTTTTGGATTGTAGAAAGAAAAGCATTAGTAATTTCTAAGGGCGAGAAATAAAATAGGAAAGAATTTAGACATAGTAACAATCCTAAAAAGATTGCAAGAAATAGATATGTTGAAACGAATCCTATTTTCAAAAGAGTAGATTGAAATAATAAAGAGCTTACCTAGGCCTCTGATAGATAAGAAATTATTCATTACTCAAAATCTGATAGAACATGAAATAGATAAAGAGAAAGCGAATTAAATTAATTTATCGCCTCTATAAAGCGAGTAAACAAGATTCAATTAATTTCATTACTTTCCAAAAATAAATACAGTTTAAGAAAAATAGTAAATCGATACAAATTTACAATTATATTTAGATCATTGCAATGTAATGTTAATAAATAATTCAAAGGATTCTTAAAAACCAAAAGTCAGGTTGTAAAGCATTTTATTAAAATGCCCATCCTTGCCCTTGTGCAACAGTCAGATAATAAAGTGTGATGAAATAGAAGAGCCTGTTTATCAGAAAACAAAAAAATGATTAAAAATTAATTTAAATATATATATCAAACTATTTAGAATTCATAAGATTTATCTTATATTATAAAAATTTTACTTGCATCAGCATCTAGGATTTTTTCTATAAGATCCGATTATGACTAACTAGTTTAACTTTTCTATTGATTTTATTATAAACCCACGTTCAAATATTGCTCATTTTCATCAATTCCATTCTTTGAATTCACTATTGTGCATAAAATTACCGAAATCTTTATCCTCATCCTTAATCTGTAGTTATTAAGTTACTTTGTTATATAAAGGTTAAATTTTGTATCATTTCTTCTCCTTTTGTTTTTCTCAATTTGATAATAAATATATTTGTTTTAAAAGGTTTCCTCTAGATTTGAATTAATTATGGATTAAAACTTAATATTTAGCTTAACTATCTTCAATTTTACGAATTGGAGTAATTTATAAGTTAGTACGTGGTTATTATATCTGAAGAAATGCAATATTTAGCTAAGACGTTTTCGTTCAACATTAATGATTATGATTAATCTTAAAGTACTTCTCTTATGAAATTATATAATATTTAAAATATTTAATTTCTATATTCTAACTTTTTATAGTTATTCATAATAATCCTCATCCTGATTACAATCCTGACCAAATCTTGAAAGCCACTCCAATGCAAGTGCAATTTCTCCAATATCCTTTTCCTTTACCTCCAATTTTCTCTGCTTCTTTTATAGTTGTATTATTATTAACTTTAATCCTCTTATCTGCTTTCCATTTTTAGCTTCTTACATCATTATATAATTCTGTTTCAACATCTTTATCAGGTCCTAAATGATGAATAATATATTTTTCTTCTTTGGTTTCAACTAAAATTCCTGCGTGTTTAACAGGTAAGTATTTAGAAATACCACCGCTTTATAGATCTCTTGTAACATATGTAGCTTTCACTATCTATTAATCTTCAATCTTAACAGGCTCTTTACTTTCCCAATTACCCATCTTATTTATTATTATTATTTCGAGATAGAATTTTTTCATTTTATATTTGAGAAATGAAATTCTATTAGAATTTTAACTCTATTTAAAATTAGTATATTAACTTAGAAATCTGTATTTCTTTTAGCAAACCAGATATATTATGGATTGGCATATATTAGATATATATATAGATTGCTACATTCATATTATAAAAATATTGCCCAATACTCCAATATTCATAAGATTTCCTCTTCTCTACACAGTGTTATTGTCATAATATGGATGTCTGAGGATTATGATTATTATGCAGAAGTAGATCCTATGATTTATTGTAAGTTTTCAAGCTGATTTATCAAAATATGCTAGCATACCTTGAAATCATTTCTTAGTAGATATGTCATTGATTATTTAATTCTTCAACCTTTAACGTGTCTTAAAAAGAAAATTGAGCAAATTGCTTGGCTAATTCAGCTTGAATTAATTAACCTTATGTGAATTTATTAAATCTATTTTTTATAATTCTATTACACTTGGTATTTTTCTAGCGTAATTTGATAAATCATTTAATAAAATGATGTCTGAAAATCGTGCTATTATTATAGACAATGGATCAGATAAATTAAAAGCGGGTATTGCAGGAGATGAGGATCCAAAATGTTGTTTTCCTGCAGTAATAGGAAGACCCAAATATGATAGAATTAAGACTGATTTGGACAGCAAAGACGTCTATATTGGTAATTAGACTTTAGCCTTGAGAGACGTGTTAGCGCTGAGACACCCAATTAAAAATGGTATTGTCAATAATTGGGATGGTAAAGAATGTCTCTACAAAATTATGTAGATATGGAAAGAATTTGGCATCATGCAATTTTCGATGAATTAAAAATCGAACCAGAGGATCACCCAGTTCTTTTGACAGAGGTTCCGATGAATCCAAAGGCTAACAGAGAAAAAATGACACAAATCGTATTCGAAACATTTAACTTTCCATCATTCTACGTTGCTAGTCAAGCTGTGCTCTCACTCTATGCTACAGGAAGAGTAACTGGTATTGTTTTAGATTCTGGATTTGGTGCCTCTTACTCAATCCCAATCTATGAAGGTTATTATTTTTCACATGCTGCTCTCAGAATTTACATAGCAGGAAGTACCTGCACTGAATATTTGGGTTATATCTTGTCTGAATTGGGTGTTCGATTTACGTCTTCAGCCGAAATGGAAATTGTTAGAGACATAAAAGAGAAGTTATGTTATGTTGCTTATGATTTTGAGGAGGAAATGAAAAAAAACATCGGCAAACCCTTTGAATTACCAGACCGAAACGTTCTTTTCATCTAAAATCAAAGAATTAGATGTCCTGAATTGCTCTTCAAACCAAGCTTGATTGGTCAGGAAGTTTCGGGTATCCATGAATTAACATTCAAATCAATAATGAAGTGCGATATTGACGTCAGAAATGAGCTGTACGAGTTTTAAATTTATATCTTAGTTACAAAAATGTTATCATTTCAGGAGGTACAGCTATGTTCTCTGGAATCAAAGAAAGGTTGAGCAAAGAATTAAGATCCTTTGCCCCAACATCTATGAAAATTAAAGTCTCTGATACACAAGAGAAGAAATTCTCCGCTTGGTCAGGTGGATCAATCTTATCAAAAACGTAGTTCTTGGATTAAATTTGGATCACAAGAAGCGAGTATGATGAAAATGGTCCAATGATTGTTCATAGAAAGTGTTTTTGAAAGATCAATCATAAGGATGCTTAAATTTAGCAAATACATTATTTTCATTAATAATTCCTGCTTGAAATTACTAAATTATACTTCTAACATAAGAAGCGTTCAAGAAGAAAAAAACGGTTTCATATTTACAAATTTCAAATTTCTTTCTTCTTATTACGCTTTCATTTATCAAAATCCTTTTCTTTTTAATATTCCATAATCTTCTACATCTAAAGTGAGAATTAAGTTGAAATTAATTCATTAGCTGCTTTATTGTTAACATTTTAAATTCCTTTGGTTCTCTAATCTTTAAGATAATTTTATAGAACTATTCAAATTCTTCTGATTATGAAAAAGATATATGTTTAAAAAATCCACTTTCTTTTATTTAATGAAATTAAATATTGCTCCTAGCGTATCGAAACAGTACCTGATCTCAAATTACTACTTTATCACTAAAGATTTACTTTTGTTTATATTAAATTTATTTATCAATTCTATATTATACTACCTACTTAATGCTCAAAAAGTAATAGAATTTTTAAAGAATTACTTAAATTAATTTTATTTAATTACCAGAAAAATTAAAAACAAAATGAAAAAACAAATTTCTGATTATTCAATGGATAGGTACAAATAAATGGGATTCTCATTTGATTTAATTAATTTAGCTTGGGAAAATTGTGATTCAGAGTCAGAAATGGTGAACACGCTCTTAATTTGGTCAGGTTAACTATAATAGAGTTAGAAAACCGGAATTGTATGATTTTTAATACGATTAATAGAAACAAGACGAAGACTCTCTTATAGCATTCTATTAGCTTGAATCACAAGAGAATAATTAGTCGACAGAATTTCAAATAATCTTGCCTTAACAGAGAATGAGAGTGGATGGAATACCATGCGGGTTAAAAAATGTTGGGAATACTTGTTATTTTAATAGTCTGATGTAGATATATTTCTTTAACAGTCAATTCGTTAAGAATATCATGGCTTTCTAACCTCCAGAAAAAAACGGGGATGGCAACTTTATTAAATCAACATATTTGGTATAAAAGCTATAAAATCTTTTCGCACGAATGATTGGGAGTGACAAAAGGTATGCAGATCCAGGCGAAGTTTTCATGTTTATATGTGACCATTTAGAAAATCCAATCCCGATTAAGAGTTAAAACGATGTAGGGGAATTTAATCATTATTTCTTAAGTAGGATTCAAGAAGGTCTAACATAAAAAGAACAACAAAATAATCAAATTAGAGATAGCCAGATTGAATCTTCTTCTTCATCAATATTAAAGTCAAGGTCCTCTATTATTCAGCATGATGACATTGTCTCATAATTGTTTTTTTGTCAGGTATATACCTAAATTAAGTTTGAACAATAAGGTCTTCCCTAAATCAGGGAAAAAAATGAGCTTTTCAATTGGATTCCACTTAATATAAAAGATGGAAATTTATATGATAGTTTTGAAAGATTCGTTGTTAATCATTTAGATGATTTCAAAAATGATTAGAGTGAATCTGTTAAGGCTGTTCAATACCATTGGATATCCTCTCCACCTTAAACACTATCATTTCAACTTTAAAGAGTTCAATTTCTTAAAGAAGAAGGTATATTATAAAGGAGAACATATTTTAGGCAAATCAATCAAATTAAATGATGAGTTTACTTTTGATGAAGAAATCTATATAGATCGCATTTTAAAGTAAAATCAAAAGATATTTCTAAATATATTAGATTAAAAAAAAGAATTAAATTCCTAATTAATGTAGATTAAAATGTAATAATAAATAAATGAATATAATGATCAGAAAGTTATATAGAATGTGATAGCAAGTACAATTTAATTTATTGTTATGTAAAACAATGGAAACTAAAATCATGAATTGGATAATGAAAAAATATAATAATTCCACGAATAATAAATGTCCTTTAAGTAACAATAACTCTAATAACAAATTAATGAGATTGAAATGCAATTACAGACTATTTAGAATAATTATGATGATTTAAAGGAATACAAATATGTACTCTAATCTATTCTTATGCATATTGGTTCAGCAGGTAATTCTATACTCTATTTTTAGATTGCGGGCACTATTACACTTATATCAAAGATTTTGGGCTTAATAAATGGTTTAAATTCAATGACATTGTAGTTTAAGAAGTGACTAAAGAGAAGGTATTTTAAGATGCTTTCGGAAAAAATAAAGGAGAGAATGCATATATATTAATCTATACTAAGGCAAATAATATGGAACAAGAAATGCAGTCCTAGATGAGAAACTACAGAATAAGCTCGTAATCTCAATATTTATAGGACATTTATGGAAGTTTCCTTAATAAAAAGTAAAGAGAAGAATTAAACAAAGAGAATTTATAGCTTTAAAAAGAAATAGGCCAGCATTAACTTTCATTAATAGAATAATTAATGGAATCTTATTAATAGCGATTTAATTTTATTAATGAGCAATATACATAAATATCTACCTCTTGGTAATAAGTAAAATTATAGCCTTTGATTATGTTGAACTATCCAATCTATATTAAGAGCAAAATGAATTTAATCAATTAGGGTGATTATGAAAATATATTAAAATGGGTAGTGATAGAGTAGGCATTTACAGATGTGAATCCAGATAAATAAGGAGTTTAAGGGAATAATACATAAATAACCAATGATGTAATTCTAATGATAATGATAGTTATAAAACTTAATTTTGAAGAAATTTATTGAACTCAATAACCCATTAGAATTGCTAAGTCAAAAATAAATAAATGAGAAGTAATAATTGCTTTAGGAATACCGTAACTATATTTAAATGGCTTCCTTGGCCTCTATTCTGTTTGATAAGATCTTATCCAAAAATTTTATAAGTGCATTATCAATTCTACATCAATTGTAATTAATTGTTAAATAATCGAATTAAATAGGGTATTTTCATGAATTAGTGTTATATTTATAAAGTTTAATTCCAATAATAATAATTAGCAAAATGATTCCTGTGTAAGAAATAGTAAATTTGCAAGAATTGGAGTTACTCCAAACATATTTCGCAATTTAGAATTTGAAGTATTAAATACCAACCCCAATATCCGAAATATAGATTTAAATAATAATGAATGCAATCTATGAAAATCATAAAGAACCATAAATTCAGAAATTTATTGATTAATTTTCCAATTCAAATTTAAATCCAAAATTAGTAGAATAGATTGATAAGATTAGTGATGTAAACACTTATAAATTTATAAATATAGGATGTAATTACCGAACAAAAATAATTAAGCGCTCATTATGATATTTACAATTGGTCTCTTCATTAGAAGTCAGATATTTTATTTGATAAGTTGACCACAAATGGGATTGATTTGAAAGCCAATTTTAAAGTACTAAAACTATTAAATTTAGAAATATATCAAAATATACAAGAAAGCGGTTGTTAAAAAAAAAACTTTGATGAAAGAAGAAATAGAAGCTTTATTAGCTTGATAGATATTTTGAGCATAAATATAATTACGAAATTCAAAATTTTTCAATTATTTTTAAATATTAAATGTTTTGCCTTTTCTTTTTTGTCCTGTTCATTTCTTAGTTTAGTATCATTTTAAAAGATCTTAGGATCTCATCAGAAGTAGAAATGCAAACACGCACATGTGGATGTATTTTGAAGTATTACAGAATATTAAAATTCAGATAATAGTACTATATAAATAGAATTTTAAATATATAAATATATTATTTATAAATTTAATTAAAATACTTAATAATTAATTTATTTAATTCTAGAACAAAATTTATATTAAGTAAATTTTATTGTGCTGTGATGTCATAGGTTTTTAAAATGACATTAAAATGAAATTGGATGAATTCATTAAAAATTAAATTACAGACAACAAATGGGATTTTCATCTCTCCTTAACAAGTTATTATGGACTATCGTAGTTGTCCTCATAGCCTACAATCTTCAATTGTATACGAAAAGTAGTTCTTCAGTTCGCTTTGAAATAAAAGGAGATGGTAATATTTAGATATATATTTAGAAATTACAATGATAAATGATGGCCAATAATTAAAAGACTCTCACATTAAGTCGCTTTCTGATGTACTCAATAAAAATCCCCAGACAACTAAATTAAATGCATAATTGTCAATTAATGCATTTACTAATTTTAGAGACTTCTTTAGTAGTTTGGAGAAATTAAGCAACTTGAATGAATGTAAGAATATGATATTTATTAATTTTAGTAACATTATCTCTTGGAAACAACCCAATTGTTGATGAATTAGAGTAAGCTAAATCATTAAGCCAAGCACTAGTTAAACTAACTAAATTGCACTCCTTAAACTTAGGCATAGATTCTATCTTCAATAACTAAAGCAGGGAAATCATCTTATCGGGATTGAGCAAAGTTTCTGGATTGACTTAATTACGTGTCTCTCTCATCAACAGTGATTTATCTGGAGATGGATTGAAATCACTTTATCCATTGACAGAATTGAGAAATTTGAAGTCCTTGGAACTGTTGTTAGTTGGTAGTAAGTTGAAAGAAGAGGAAATGAAACATTTGTAAACTATATTACATAAGCTACCTAAACTAAACAAATTGAATCTTAATCTCTATGCAAATAAAATATAAATTGATGGAGCTATCACCTTGAGTGGAGGCTTATTTTAATAAAGACAATTGAAAGAATTCGGAATCGATCTATATTTCAATAACATCACAGCAAATGGAACAGAAAGTCTAATGGGAGTAGTTGGTTCAATGGAAAACTTGACCTCATTAAATTTAGGTTTGGAATTCAATTACATAACCAATGAGGGAGGTGTGTAAGTCGGAAAAGCATTGTCCTAATTCAAAAACTTGAAAGATTTATCAGTAAATGCTGCCACAAAGAATTTTGGTTGGGATGGTTATGAGGCTATTGTTGGTGCAATTGAGAAATTACCACCTCTCGATAATCTAGAGTTGATAATTGGAATCAATAAGTGTGGATTACCAGGAGCAGAATTATTAAAAAAAGCATTATTTAAACATGATAAACTAAAGTCCTTGAAAATCAACTTTTTAGAAAACTACGTCGGTGATGCAGGAGCTACATTCATTGCTGAAGGAATTCAATATCAAAAGAATTTATAAGAATTAAAAGTCAACATGAACTTCAACTCATTATCAGATAGAGGTGCCCTTGAATTAGCCAGAGCTGTCAAAAATGCCAAATCACCAAAGGTATCAATATTATTCATCATTTTAGGTTGTCGACTTTAGAGTAAGCTAAAATTAAATTACTGATAAAGGTATCAAAGACATCTTTGTGCTCTTGGAACAAGCTCTTCCTAAGGTAAATCAAATGGAGGTGGAATTGTTAAACACTGCACTTACAAATGCCACAAGAGATGATATAGAATTGAAATATGGAAAAGTTGAAAATTTGTAAATTAGATTAAACACAATCCCACCAAGTAATTGGGAATGATTTTGTTATTTATGTATAAATCACAGTTTCCTTTTATATTGTCTACTTTATCTTTTTGGTTTCTTAATTTTAAACTCTTCGTCACTTTCTTCTTCTGAATCATTTTTCTTTAATTTCTATTTCTTTTATTACTAATCTCCTTTTTCTTCTTCGTCATTATCGTCGTCATCTTATTGATTATTATCTTTTGAATTAGTATTTTTTAATAAATTTTTCAAGTAATTTTAATCTCTTTGTTTCATTTTCTCATAAGCATACCTTAAACCTTCACTACTGAAATATTTAATGTTTTTTTCAATAAATTCAATTACTCCTTTTAGATCAACCAGTGACATTTCCCTTAATAACCAACCTGTTCCTAATTAGTTAAATCGTTCTTAATGAACTATGTTCTCTTAACATATCTCAAAAAGCAGATTCATATCACATACTTTCTTTCTTGCCAAAGTTACAAAACCTACACAACTAGATCTTCTCATCCATAAATTTTCATGCTTAGCCCAATCCAACATTAATTTTGCGTTTTCCTTCTCGATTACAAACTACTTTAAAACTCTTCCACAATACGTATCTGCTGTTGCCCATTCTTTTATGTGACCATCAATAAACCATTTTTCTGTTAGCTTTATTCTTTATAAATTAAATTTCATTTTTTCCGCAATCATCAATGCTATCTTCTTATCTTCCCCATATTCTTATCTCATCAAAAAGTCAGCTATCTCATACTTTTAATCATCCTCCAATTATTTTATTTAATCCTTGAATGAATTGAATACTTTAGTAATTTCTGGTTATTATAAACCTCTAAATGGAAGAACATTTTTCATGTAAGAAGAAATTTCCTTTCCTTTTTTAGGATTTGCAATTTCAATCATCGCTTTTTAAATGGCTTATTTCATTTTATTATAAATTTTTAATCGTTTAATACCTCAAATATATTCTTGCTATTAATTGATCACAATTTCTCAAACAAATTACAAAAATATATATTATTGACGTCTCAAACAGATAAATATTCTAATCCATTTAAAAAATATATAATTGAATAATATATGAGAAAATACACCTGAAAGATCTATTACAAGAAGGTTTATTGTACCTTATCTATATATAAAATTATAATTTGTTTCCACTTCAACAGTATAATCTATATTCTACGATGATTAAGATTAAAAATGCAGTGAATTACATCGGATTCGAAAAGGAAGATATTAATTTAACTATATTTTTCTGTATATGTCAAATTTTTTTCCCTTAACAAAACAAACTTTTTATGAAATTAAAATGGGAAATGATTATTGTGTGAGCAGAAGAAATTCTAAATCTAAAATCTCGGAGCACAGAATGTTTTAATAAGATATCCAATATCAACTAGAAAGATTAAAGGACATTGACAAGAAATACATTGTTATCTAATATGAGAATAAATCAATTGAAGATCTCTTAAGAAACATCGATATCAATATTACAAATTAGGTGAATAGAGAACAAGAAAACTAAAATCTCAATTCATAAGACTCAATTGTCATTGATTTTGCTTAATTTACTCAATTCGGAAATGAGATAATATAATAACTACAACAGAAAATCAAGGATTTAACCTTAAAGAAGTAGGATTGGTCCCTTTTGGTTGATGACAACTCAAGCACTCATTTTTTGAAACTTCAAATGTCATAAACTTAAATGGAAGATGGAAACAAGATAAATACTATTATTAGTTAATTTATAGTTCCATGCAATCCTAAAAGATTCATTTATTATATGGGAAACTTTTAAGAACAAAAGTAATTGGATCTTAGAATAGATTAATTTAGATGTATCTCGAAGAATAAAGAGGATTAAGAATAAATTATCTATTTAAGTTATAAAAGTGTTTCAATAATATCTGCTAGAGATTTTATCTATTTCAAAAAAACTAAATTAATTGATGAGACAAATGATATATGGTGTGATGCAAGTAGATCCATAGACAATAATAACTATTGTTCTGTAAATAATAAGATTGTTAGAGGAACTATTTATTTAAGTGGATATGTAATTTAGCCTCTGAAAAATGTTCTGAACAATGATCCCTATTCCCAAAGGTAAATAGTTTAATAGTAAAATAGATTTGCCTCTATATCTAAGAAAGCAGAGAATTATTCCTTTGTATAAATGTGTTCATAATGTGACTTCAAATTGAAAGTGCCTTTTTATATTGCAAAAGGATAGGTGAAGCAAGAGATGATTAATTATATCAATCTACTTTATAGAAACTTATAGTGATTTAAATTGCTTCATTTGGAATGTGTTAGCAGATAGTTGCACACCTTTATTATTTTGAAATAACACTATTTATAATTTATTATTATAGGTTCTTTTTCAATTAATTAAAGTTTAATAACTTCATTGAATTATTTAATAATTGAATTCTTATTGTTGATATTACTTAATGAATCAACAATGTATTTAGCTTTTACATCCACATGTTTATTGATTCTTATATTTCAATGATTTAAGATCTCTTATTTAATTATTGTCTGGATTTATATATTTTATATTAGATTAGATATCGTTTCTATATTTGTTATATGAGACATTTATCATAGTCTATTATCCATTTTACAAACTATGTTTTTAATTCAATTTTTTGTCAACTTGAAAACTTCCTTAATTTCCCTCTGAATTAAAAATAGAGAGTGCATTTCGATTCTGAACCATCTGTTATGCATTTGTAGAAGGCAGAAAATGACTAAGAAATATATGTATGTAAGATGTCTTTTAATTATATTATATTATTCATGAATCAATTAACTGATTCATGAAGGCATATGAATTTAAGAAATATAAATAAATTTAAAATATGAATAAAGAAGAAGCAGAGACATTTAAATAACCTTTAATAAATGAAGTTAGTTAATAGTTTAGCAAACAATCAAAAAAATCAAGAGGAAAGTCATAACTATCTGTTTTGACTGAGCATTCAAAAATGGACACTCATTTATATGAAATCCCAGATCTTACATAGATAACGTAGAAAGTGCTTTGTCGTTTGATTGCAGTTTCTGTTGTTTGTATCATATTTCTGGTGGCTGAAGTAAGAATACTTAATCCTAAGAAAGGTCATAGGAGGTTTATGGGCATAATCATTGGCCATCTTATCAGATGCTGCCCATATGTTCTCAGATATGAGTGGCTTCTTCATTTCTATATTTTCCATTTGGCTTGGGCAAAAACCCGCCTCTCAAAAAATGTCATTTGGATATCATAGAGCTGAGGTCATAGGAGCTTTGGGTAGTATTATATTGATTTGGGGATTAACGATCCTATTGTTCTATGAAGCAACTATCAGAGTTTTAGAGGAAGCCATAGTTACTGACCCATTAATAATGTTGATAACAGCAGGATTTGGGTTGTTTTGTAATTTAGTGATGGCTAAGGTACTGCATTCTTCGCCTACAGGTGGTCATGATCATGGAAACATAATGCATTAATGTAGTGGACACAATCATGGTCATGATCACGGCCATGAACATAATCATGATCATAATCACAATCATGACCATAGTCATAGTCATGAGGAGAGTCACTCTCATAGCAAATAAAAATAGCAAAAGAAAAAGAAAAAGATTAGCATAAAATAAAAGAGACAACAAGTAAGTGAGAATGGAATTAGTATGTTAGTTGTTGAATAAGATATTGAATCAGAATCAAGTGATAAAAATTTAACAATCAAAGAAGAAAGTGAAAGTTCTTCCTCATGTCAAAGCAATAAATAATAATAATAAAATATTGGATAAAAATCATAATAATAATAAGCTCGTGAACACAATCATTCAGAAAATTGTGGACATGATCATCAAAAAATTGACATTCCTAATGAAATTGAAAATTAAAAATGCAAAAACAAAAAAAATCAGAAAGATTCCAAAAGCTCAGAAGATAGTCATAGTAGTTGTAATGGAAAAGAACACAATCATGATCATGAACATGACCATTCAAATTCACAAGATCATTCACATTCCCATGATCATTCACATTCACATGATCAATCACATTCACATGATCACTCAAATTCTCATTCACATGACCATTCAGATGATCATTCTCATGATCATTCACATAATCATAAAAAAAAATCAAATAAATTAAAAAGTAAGAATTTAACTGAAATAAATGAACATGATAATCATAATCTCAAAGCAGCTATGATACATGTTATAGGTGATATTCTATAATCCATTGGAGTTCTGATTGCTGCCATCTTAATATACATTTTTGGTTAAAAAAAGGATGAAAATAATCAAATTGTTTTCACATATTGGTAATATGCTGATCCCTTTTGCACATATCTTTTTAGCATTCTTGTTCTCTTCACAACTTTTGGAGTTGCTAAAGAATGTTTAAGAGTGTTAATGGAAGGTACTCCATAAAGTAAATTTAATTATTAATTCTTTAGATTTAATAATTGAAGAATTCAATGAAAAGTTAAAGGCCATTCATAGAGTGAAGGAAGTACATGATTTACATATATGGTCGCTTTCAGTTGGTAAACCAGCCATGTCTGCACATATAGTTTGTATTGAAAATCCAGAATATGTTCTAAGAAAAGCTACAAAATTGTGTAGACAATTTGGAATATATCATTCTACAATATAGATTGAGCTATATGACAGACAAGGTGCAAACGATTATATTAAATGTGATCACAATTTGCATAAATGAAATTTAAAACTGTATATTAGTTATTGTGAAAGATTTATTATTACATTAATTTTTTGCAATTATATTAATTAATCACAAATTTGTAAATTATAATCCTAATGCAAATAGCCAAACTTACCCAGAAATTTCGTAATCTTTCTCTTTCTATAATTGTATCAACTCTTCAGCCAACTTTTTGCCCATTGTTAGTTCATAAACCACAATATTTTCATCAAATTCTAAATGTTATTAAGGGTTCTAAGAAAGATCAGAATCACCATCAATATCCACGAAGCAATTGTAACAATATTCATTTGATTTCCAAGGATCTGTTCTCGTAATAACATCTTTATGCTGATGATTGTTTAATGTGGCAATATAACCTGTTTCTTCTTTTAACTCCCTAATTCCATTTTCATAATATTCTCCTTCTTTATCTATCAATCCTCCAGGAAATTCTAAACAATATTTACGAATAGGAGGTCTGAAATTGGCAACTATGATAATCGTGCTTGGTTTATTCTTGTACTTCACTATTGGTATTACTCTAACACCTCCTCTATAACCTGGTGGTTTTTCGGCGTATTCATAAACCTTTTGTCTCTCATTAATTTTAAACAGCAGAAGTTTGAAGTGTAACCATTTTCCAGCATAAACTAATTGCTCTGTTGCTTAAGTGTTTTAATTCATTTATATGATTAATTTATTACGTACTATTTGACCAAAATGAAGCAATCATATCTAAAATAAAAATAAAAATCAATAATGCAAAAATATCTCCAAAACACCTTTGCTAAATAATTAAATAAAGCTTCATTTGCTTAATTCGGTCATTCTGGACATGCAAATAAAAAACCTCCCGTGAGAGTGGCAATTACAGGAGCAGCTGGATAAATTGGTTACTCCTTAATATTTAGAATTGCAAGCGGAGAGATGTTGGGACCAAATCAACCAGTTATTCTTCATTTGATCGATTTACCATTTGCTATGGCTGCATTGAATGGAGTAGTAATGGAAATTCAAGATTGTGCATTCCCACTTGTCAAGGGAATAGTAGCAACAGACAATCAAGCAGTTGGATTCAAAAATGTTGATTATGCTCTCCTTGTCGGTGCAAAACCCAGAGGTCCAGGAATGGAAAGAGGAGACCTCTTAAAAGACAATGGTAAAATATTCACTGAAACTGGAAAGCATATTAATGTAGAATATTTCATATTAACTCCTAGGAACATGCCAGTAGAGATATAAAAGTGGTTGTTGTTGGTAATCCATGCAATACAAATTGCTTAATTTTAGCAAATCAAATTAAAGATATTCCAAAAGAAAACTTTACAGCTATGACAAGATTAGATCATAATAGAGCACAACATCAATTAGCTGACAAATTGGGAGTTCATACTACCGATATCAGAAAAATAGCCATCTTTGGAAATCATTCCCCCACCATGGTACCCTATATTGATTAAATGACAGCAAAAAGTAATCAAGAATCCTATTTTCATTAGATCATAAAGCCACTGTAGATTAATAATGGGTGTCCTAAACTTTTATTCCAACTGTTCAATAAAGAGGAGCTGAAATCATCAAGGCTAGAAAACTGTCCAGTGCAGCTTCAGCAGGAAATGCTGCCATGAATCACATTACTACTTGGGTTAATGGAACTTCTGAAAGTAATCCATATTGAATAATTTAAGGTGATTTTACATCCATGGCCATTCCTTCTGATGGTAGCTATGGTGTCCCCAAGGGATTGATTTTCTCATTTCCTGTTTCTGTCAAAAATGGAAAATACTCCATTGTTTAGGGATTGCCAATTTCACCCTTCTACTAAGGCCTTCTTGATAAAACCATAAAGGAATTAGTTGATGAGAGAAATGCAGTCGATCATTTGCTTAAATGATATTCCATATTTAATCAATCCATATTAAAATATTAATAAATTAAATTATTAAGATCAGTGAATTTTTTGTCCATTCATTTTTTTGTATTGGTTTTTGTTTTAAAACAATATCCATACAGATGTTTATTAAGAAATCAACTACAACTAGTTATAGAATATCTATATTTAGAATAAGAATATATATCAATGTGGGCTTTCAGGAACATAATGTTTTTTTCATCATGTGCTAGGAAGTTTTCAGTGAGGTTAACAGTTTCTTGTTTCTAAAGAACCTATTGAATTTTTAGAAATGCTGGTCATCCTCTATGTTATAAGGTTAGGAGTAATCATTTTGATCTTCGAATACAATTTACTTCGTTGGGAAATATTTTTTGAAGAGTTTTTTACTTGACGATGCATAACTTATGGCTGTTTTTATAACATCCTCATTTTCAATGTGTTGTCTATAGCCTGGAAATCCACTTAAATAGAGACATAATAATACCCATATCTAGCTTTGTAAAGTTACAAAAACTGGCCAAGAGAAGATTGCTTGTCATCGAGTACTATTTTCTTGACTCTGAGATCTTAATTGTCATCCCATATCTCAAATTCCTCATCTGCACTCACTTAACTATCACTCACAGATACTATGGACTGTCTGCAACTGATGCTATTCTACTAAGACAATAGTTTTATGGGTTGGATTTTAATGAAACTTTTAGTAAAGTGTTCTTATGGTTTATTGGTTCTATTAGTTAGAGATTAACACGTTAGACTCATTTAGAGTGATTTTTGAATGGATTATTATTTTTAGAAGAAGTCCTTCTTGGATTTGATACGGAAAGTCTATGAGGTTTTCATTAATATATATAAATTAAAATTGCAAATCTCAATTGCTTATAATTAGGTCTCTAATAAATTATCGTTATGGCATAATTAATTCCATTGTTGGTAGACAAAAATATAAGATTTTAATTCAGAATATTAATATTCCGAAATGGCCTTCTATTATAATAATGATAATGTTCTCCTTTCACATATTTGAGTTGTTGAACCTAATAATAGTAAGGTTAAATTTTTATTATATTAATTAATTATTTATATATATGGGCAAATTCACAAAAGATAAACGAGTATAAAGAAATTCATCATATTCTAAATAAGTATTATATAATATACTTATTAACTATTAACTTATCACTATAAAAGCACTTTTCACCATTTTTAGGATATTTATTATAGGAAAGCCAAAGAAGATTAATTCAGAGCCAGATCAGCTTATAAGCTATTACAAATAGATGACTCCTTCTAAATATTTAGACAAGTTGAGAGAGCAATAGATTTATGTGCTGCTCCTGGCAGTTGGTCATAAGTTCTGGTTAAGAAGTTGACAGAAAAGAATTTCCTTCCATCCGAGAGTTGCAGAATAGTCTCAGTGGATTTGTAAGAGATGGCTCCATTAGATCATGTCACTTAAATCCAAGGCGATATAACAAAAAAAACAACTGTGGATGAGATCTTAAAAAAGTTCAATTACTAAAGAGCAGACATTATTGTTTGTGATGGTGCACCTGATGTCACAGGATTTCATGATATTGATTATTACATCTAATCCTAATTGATAGTGGCTGCTTTGAATATTTGTTTGATGACTTTGAGAGAAAATGGAATATTTGTTGCAAAAATATTTAAAGGTTCAGATATCAAATTGTTGTACTCTTAATTTAAATTGTTCTTCAATTAAGTGTATTTTATGAAACCCAAGTCAAGTAGAGCCTCAAGTGTTGAATACTTTATCATGTAATATCTATATGTAATAAATAATTTAGATGTCTTCAATACACACCAAAAATTTAAACTCAAAATTTCCACTTATACACATTTCTTAAGGAAATTGAATAGGCAGAAAAACAGAAACAAGAAGTTATTGATTAATAAACAGAAAAGGAATAGTCCAAATATTACAAATTTATTACATGTGGAGACCTGTCAGGATTTGATGAAAATTGAGTATAAACATAATTCAGATTCATTATTCAAACTTTAAAAATACATACTACTAATGTTAATTTTTTTTTAATTTTGCTTTAGGGTTTAGGATGTAGAAATTTCAAATTAAATCAAATTGATTTTCTGTTGAGATTCTTTGTTATTGTCAATAATATTAATTTTCCTTCGTTTCTCTTGCTACTTATAAAAACGTCTTTCAATTTTGTTAAGTCTACATCTGAAATTGACTATTCATTATTCCTAAATATTATTGATTAGATAATAATATAACAAATATTAAAAGATGATTTTCCTTGAGGATGCTTAGAGAGGACAAGCTCAATCACCAGAATCTTTTAAAAGACTGTTTTTACCTCATAAGAGTGATACGGGTTTTGTGTTTACGAAGTTGAATAAACAACTTACAACTGTCAAAAGTACAGAAAGAAAACTCTTTAAAAAACGTCAACCTGATGAAGAATAGGAATAAGTGAAGCTTGATTAGTCTTCTAGCTTAGAGGTAAAGATGGCTGATGATCTTTTGAAACACGAGGTGTGTGATTGGTAGAATTTCATGTAGAAGGATTAAGAAACAATCCGTCAAATTAACTCCTAAGATGAATTGTTTTAAGAACTTCCTTCAAAAATCAAAACTCAAGAAACTACTAAGAGAAATAAGATTTGGCAGGAAGGGAATGAACGATATGTGTTTTTTTCAAGGATGAGACAAGGAAAGTAAGCTTATATATTAATTATGAAAAAGTAAATTGTTACCTAACTTGAGTTCGCAAGACTTTCTTTCTTCAGTGCGACATTCATCCAAACTAAATGAATATGCTAAGGTGTATAAATAATAGCCTCAAAATATTTATTTGAGTCTCAATCTTTCTCAGCCAAAAAGAGTTCCCAAGACTTTTGGATTAATACAAAATACTTCCTAATTGCAAACAGTTAATACAAATAGATGCTTAAGATCAAGAGAAGATTGCAGAGCATTCTCATGTGCTATGTTAACCTCACAAAGCAAAACCATAACATCTCTTTAAATGAATCACAATATATTTGATCCACAATAATTGAGAGATGTGTTATTAACCTTCCCAACAGCACTCAAAGACTTAGAATTAATTGATTGCAAACTTCATTATTAGCACATGGACATTTTAATGTCATTTATTAATAAAAATTAAATACTAAAAATTAATCTAGAAAAAAACAACATTCGAGATTAAGGATGTAAAATCATCATGAGATATTTGATGAATAATAATACCCTCTAACATTTGAATCTCAATAACAATTAAATTACAGAATGTTCAAGCATGGCCATATCAAATCTATTAAAATAAACACAGAGACTTTTGGAATTGTATTTGGGATACAACAACTTAAACTCAAGTGCAGGAAATGCTATTTGGAAAGCAATGTACAAAAATACAAGTGTTAAAATATTGGATTTGTCTCATAATAACATAGCTTCATTGGAATGTGCAGCCTCAATTGCCAAAGCTATTGCAAGACCATACAATGAATTACTTCATGTAGACTTATCCTATAATAAGTTTACCTATCCATAAGCTCAATTAATTTCAGAATCATTGATCAAAAATGAAACTATTTATGGGTTTCATTTCGAAGGAAATTAAAGTGAATTATGTGTTAATCCAAATGGATTTTTGGTTAATAACATTCAATTCAAAAAAACTTTAAGTGATAAATTAATTTAACTCTACAAATAACCTTAATATTTCAAATTACTCGAAATTCCTAAATAGCAACCCTATTAACCTCCTAAACAATATGAAGAGTTGGTCATGCCATTCAGTAGGCAGCGAAAAATTAGATCTACTAAGTCAAACATGTAAAAGAGCAATTAACTAAATAAATTAGACACTTGTTGGATTTGTGAAGGATGGTAAGAAATTAGATTTGAATGGAATGCCTATAAGTCTGGTAGTTTATACAATGAACCCATATTCATTCACTTTGATTTTGAAGATTATCGACCTTTGTTGATGACACATTTAAATAATGAGTTCTTTTTTGTGAAGATGTGTCCACCCAATCAAGAAATACAATATTTCTTCACTAATCCCATATTAGGTGTTTAATAACCTGCTATGGATTAACCAATTAAATATTTAGACACTCCAATTCAGTCTATTCCTTTTTTATATAATGAGGAAATCTTAGTAGACGGAAACGCACTTGATTAAGTCAACGTATTGCAAACATACAATAAATAATAATTGTTTGACAAATACATGCCCTTAGTGTAATGCAAACCTAGGGAACCCTTAGCTAAATTTGACTTTTCTCCTTATTTGAACATCAAAAAACATAACTGGTCTGTTGAAACATCTATTTTTCGCAATTTTTAACCAGACACTCCATAATTGATTGACTAATGTTTTGAATTCGATTTTCAGAATTCAAAAGTAACTAGATTAGTTAAGGAAACAGAGATTGTTGAGGTAAAGGAAAGTCTCAAGGATTTATATAGGAACTTATTCCATGTATATAAATACCATGCAGCTGGGTCATAAGGTCAACCCATTCCTTGTATTTTGATACAGGATTATATTGATTTCTTAGTGTAGACATCTCTAATGGAAGGAATGAAGACCAATGATATTGATATCAGTTTTACATCGACTAGTGCAGCCAAAGATGTGGCATTTCCTTAAGCATATGAGAAAGGTTTAGTGAGATGCTAATTACTTGAAATTATGATAAGATTATGCAATGATAAATACATACGTCCAGGATTATTTACTTCAATGGTAGATTCAATAAGCGCTATCAAATAATAAAGTTAAGAATATTTCAGCAGATTTGATTAAGCATAATAGTGGAGAAAAACAAGACTTTGGAATTAAAAATGCGATATTTTGTTAAATGATAGAGTTGCTATGTTAAAATCTCTTTACAAATATTGTTGTAAACTCAGTAAGAAGCCTTAGTAATTCAAAAATGACTATGTATCAATTCAAGATTTTAAGGATATGCTCAATCAATGCAAGTTAATCTGTGATGATCTAAATGAAAGGGAATGTTGTTTAGTTTATTTACAGTCTATGATAACTCAAAAAGATGAACTCTTCTCACCAAAGCATTATTAAATGAATTTTCATGAATTTATTGATGCCGTTGGTAGATTGGCTGAAAAGTTGTCAATTATTCGTGGTGATAAGCCTATAGATATTGATGATAGAAGGGCTAAAGATTTACACACCAAACTAGATGGGTTTCTATTGTACGTGTATTTGAATATAGGAAATGAGATGAAATCAACTCTTCCACCAAATGATCAAGATATCAAAGGGGTTGACAAATGCATGATAAATGACTTTAAGTCTTTGAAATAGAAATTAGAGGATTCCTTTACCGATGGTGATGAGCCACCTTATGATCCTAAAGTGGAGCTACCTCACCTTTCTAGTCAGATAACAAATTTATTGGGTAATACCTTAGGAGGCAAGAAACAAACACTTAGATCTCAAATGAAATAGATAAAAAAAGAAGAGTAGAAATTTTCTTTAATAAATTTTGTTTAATACTTTAAAAGCATATAACAATTAAACAAAGATTAAGATGATTGATTTTTGTATTAATATATCATTAAACCTTGTTTTTATCATGATAATATATAATAGTATTTTATTCATAAGCATTTTTATAATTTTCAAATATAAAATTATAAATTCTTTAATCAAAATGATGACTTTTATATTATTATATAATTAATCGTTATAAAAAAGGGAATATTTTTAATTTAGTGCAAAAACGAGAAAATTAATATATTCCTCATTATTTCTATTCAAATTTGGTAAAAGCATATTTGAATTTTATCTCTTTGGTTTTTACTTTTGCTTCGTCATCTTCTGTTTTGTTTGTAGTATATAAATTCTCAAAAGGGAGAGGAATATATCCAGAAGTATTGTAAATCGATGATAATTCACTTAGAAAAATCTATCCCTTTTTAATTTTTTTTTAATAGACTATTGATTATTTTGATAATGTTACCTGAATTTTATATCTTGGTGGCTGATGGATAGTAAGATTATAAAGCATAAACGTTTTTTGACATACTAGTTAGTGCATAATACTTATCAGTGACTGAGAGCTCTTTAAACTCATCGGTTGAGAAAATTTAATTGTTTGACCATAAAGATAATACTTTGCTTTACCCTTCAATGTAATTTTACCATTCGTCTTAAAATTGAGACAAGTAATCCGGATCTAATTGTTCAATATATTTAATAAAATAATTTCTGCATTTTTCAGCATCAGAGTTCCTGAGTTTAAATTTCTTTAATCCGTTTAAAATTGAAGAATTAGATTGGATGATATTTCTCTCTTTCTGGGAGAGGTGTGTGCAGAAAATAAACCATGCTCTGGATAGAGTGTCTTCATCTGTCTTATATGATTGAGTGAGATATCTTAAAATAACAGACAATTTTCTAAGCAGTAAAAGATGTTTACTATGATTTTCTAGATAATTAGAGATTATAAAAAATGAATGATCCACGCAATTACAACCTGTCCATCTAACACGAAATGGGAACTTTTTAACTCCTATCCCAATGTCATCCCCAAAAGTCCAGGCTGGCTTAAGAGCTTTTCTTTTTTCTTTCTATTTATTTTGAGTTTCTTATTCTATCTCCGGCCTCATTTCTCCATGAAAACATTATTCCATGATCAGATTTATTTTTACTTACATCCGATATTTTTATACATCGTTCGATTACTTAGCCCCGAATCTCCTGTAAAGTTTTAAACCTTATTCATCAGCTGCTTCTGCAATTTATATGTAGTTTCTTTTAAAAATTTCAATCTCTTAGTTATAATATACTATTCTGATATTAGCAATTTTGGTAAAGTCCAAGTTAAATTTTAGTAATGACATATTGTATTTGAAGACTGGGTTCTTCTCTTTTAAATTAGCTCCAAGTTGGTTGATTTTATCCTATAGAAATTTGAGTTATTCTAGGATCATAGGTATGCAAGCAGTAATATCGATAAGAACTTTAAAATAGTCATTTAAAACTTCCCCAAACCATTACAATTTTAAATCTCCATTCAGACCTAAATTGTAACTGAGACTTTTCTCTAAATTAAATTTTTATAACAAATACCATCATCATCAAGTTTATAGTAAACTCCATTTTATTTTCCTTGACCTAAATTACAAATTGATACAAATCTTGTCCAAAATCCAAAAGCATCAAGTACTGTTTAATTTGTAGTCAGGGAAACCTATTGTAGAATAGCATTTAACCTTTGTAATACGAAAAAGAATGATCCTATTACTATTAATTTATTTGTATAATTAGCGAACTTCTTTGAGCAAATTGTTCACGACAAATATCAATTAAGTGAGTTCGATGGATAAGGTTCCTGTTCTCAAAAATTAAAAATCATCAAATGCCAAAGTCTATTACTCATCTGAGGAAACGCATCCCATATTTTATTATTATTTATACTATAGCTCACATCAATAAATAAAATTTCCCTTTAGATTTATTTAATCAATCTTTTATGTTATTTTAAATCTTACAAAAACGATATTTTATAATTACGAATAGACGAAGTGAAAAAATTTAGAGATTCTACACCTTGCTTTATTGAATAGTACTTGTTATCTGTCAACTCTGAATATACGATTATTTATTTTTATATTAATACAAAAACAGCAGGCTTAATCAGTTAAGAAAAAAATAAAAATTAAATATTGAAACTGTTGACATATTCTGATGATAGGTTCAAAACAACTTAAAATGAAATTCAGAAATCCCACCTTAATATCCTGATCTAAAATTATTTGATAAATAATGTCAATCGACTTTTATTTTTCAAATGTATCATTGTGACCATTAAACTTTGTAATCATTATAATAATGCCTAAATGGTTGCTGTTTTTTTATCTAATATTATCCTATAGTACAGCTTATTCGGTTATTCAAATAAAATCTATAATTGCTCAATATTATTTATTAAAAATAATAAGTATGCACATTATTATAATTTATAAATAGTGATCAGTTTTTGTGAGATTTTTAATAAAAAATCATACAATTCTTTAAAACTGGAATGTTAAACAATTCTAGATTTGAATAGAAGTATTGGAAGAACCTAGCAAATACAATAATGTGCATTTTTCTAATTCTGATTTCTACACATCTTATATTCAAAATGGTAAATTTATAATATCAAAATAATGAATAATCATTGACATTATGTTGCAAAATATATATATTTTAATTAATAATTACTTTATTTAAATCAGAAGATCCATTTCTTTTGCAAAAATTTATTATATAGCTATGAAATTTGGAAATAATAATATTAGTATTCTGAGATTAATATTTATAATTATGATGTTTATTAATATATTTTGGAAAGTATAACATTAATTTATTAACGATGAAACAAATAGTGATAAATTTCTCTGATCTTAATGATGAAGCAAAGAAAAAGTATATTAGATATTTGACCCAAAATAACATAAGCATAGAGAATTAATCATTAAAGAAATCGCAATTGCCTTTTTAACATCGATCTAGATAATATAGTACTTTGAGTGACATTGCCAATAGCAAGGCTTTCACACCAGCCAGTAATAGATTTCATTTAAGTAGGAAGAATCGTAAAAGTAAGCTTCCTAACACTTTAAGACAGATCATTCTGTTGGAGCAAAATTTAGCGATTTAGAAGAGTCATATCCAAAAATAATGAGCAGAATTTAAAATAAAGATCTATTATCAAGACCTTTGAAATTGAGTTTTAATGAGCTAAGTCTTCTAATAGAGGAAATATATTAAAAAAAGTTTGTAGAAGATTCTAATCAAATTGCTAGGAATTAGAAAGTGTCAGAAATTGCATTTGTTGACTATGTCTACGAATTTCTATAAAATAAATTTAAGCATTCAAAAAATCAAGTAAGATTTTACGTATATTAGTTAATAATAAACTTTTTAGCATCTGTCGATTTACATGCATTGAAAAGGAAAGACGTAAATATTTTCTAGCAATTTTTGAAATTCAATAAACAAGAAGTGTTGACATTCTACTTGTTCACTAGAGCAGTCATATAAAAGGAACTGAAATTGCCATTCTATCATCGTAAACTATATTTGTTATATAATTATTAAAGCACTTAGAAAGCAAGGGATAGATAGTAATCAATTGCAATTGAGTTAGAAGTAGGTTCAATAGATCTCCTTACTTTTATATGGATCACCAGAGAAATATCAAGAATTTAAGAAATTTTTTCCTGGAAACAGCATATCTGTAAGTGAATTTTCGTTTGCAGCCATCCTGATTTATGAAGCTCAACATTAAACCAACAAGCAAAAACCATTTTAACAATAACACAGATCGCTCTCCCCCCTTCAAAATACCAGTTATGACGACTCCTAGGATTTAAGATAACCTGACTCTCCTTTGTTTATGCAATCCGAAATGTCTATGGAGAATAATAGATAATAAAATGAAAACTTCTTCTCCTCTGCTTTGTAAAGTGTCAGTAGTCAAAAGAAGCAACACTGGTAAGTGTAGATAAAGTTTCATCGAATACCATGTGCTGCTAACAATGTTTAAAAGTTGATTAACGAAAAATTGGAAACAAAATTATCTGATTTTATTGAAGAAATGCTTTCAGAAATGGAAGATCTCACTGATGATTAGAAGCAATAGTGTGTAACTGGAATAGAAGCTAGGATTGTAGATACTATGGCCATTCTTTTGGATGCTATATATAAATACGATAAATTATTGTGGTATTATTAATTAAATTTATCAAGGTTTAAGAAACTGAACAAATAACCAGATGAATTTGGATTAGAGTATATAGAGAATTTGTAGAAGCTTTATCGCTCATTAGTTAAGGCAAAGCAACCTTTGGATGATCAATTAGATTAACTCTGTCAATAGATGATGCAAGTAATTACTTAATTAATATTTTAAGACTCCAGATTTAGCAAAGTAAATAGGAAATGAATTATTGCAATACTTCTATAATTGTAAATGATACTTGATAATTAAATATAAAATATAATTCATCAATTTAAATAAACCCTAATACTGGATCTATCTATCAGATTCATTCTTCAATTTTATATATTTCATTGTAGGTTTGGTATTTGATACTTCAATTATAGAAGCATTATAGTTTTCAACAGTCAAAGGACTCCCAATGAGATCTTAGAATTTGATTTTTCTTATTGTAAATTTATATTTATTGTCATTATTTTTTAGGCAGGAATATCAGAGCGATTATCAATTTGAATTTTGGTAATTTTATAACTATAAATGAAAGTATAACAAAGGGTATTACTGGTTTTTGATTTTGTATAGTTTATCCTTAGATTTTGAAATCATAAGTAGATAATTCTAGTAGTTTAAGTATTTGCAACTGCTTAAGAATAATTTGATGTTTGTTTCAGCAATCATCGAACGTACAGAAGCTTTCTTTAGAACCATATCTCTAAAAATTGTAATAACTAATATCATAGAAGTTGTATATTATTCTATATTTTTACTTTGAAAGTTTGAATTTTAATTAATTAATTAAGGAAAATATTAATATGAATAACTTAAATAATAATAACAATAATAATAACGATAAGATTTTTAATTACTATCAGGATACCTATTTCAATCAGACTATCAATATTATAAGAATGAATAGAAAAGTTGAAAAAAAAATTCTAATCTCTATATGTGGTACTCCTCTATTATATTGATTCGTGTTATTTAACATTTAAATGATGATTACAATTTTGATATCTTTATAGAATAATCTTTTTATTCTCAAATAATTAATTGTTGCCAATTGAACAAAGATTTTTTGAATAAATTAATGAATATTTCATCATATATTCATGCTATACATGTCCTTTCTGATAATTGACTCTAATTTTCAGTTCTGAATTTATAACTAAAAGTTTTAAATCTCATTATCAAATTGATAACATTTGAGATAAAAGTTTTGTGTTGGGTTAGGATTAAAAAATTGTAGAAAACATTTGAAAT